CTAAGTTTTGGTGTGCCGTGGTTTCCTTTTCATTTGTGTCAAAAAGTGTTTTCTCTGTTCCTTTGGCCGGTTGTCTGTATAAGAAAGTGTTGTTTCATTCTCATTTTCCTTCTGTGTTGACTTATATTTATGCAGCCAGAGAAGATACTTTGGTTCTTTCAGTCTTTACAAATGTATTGAGGCTTGTTTGTGGCCTAACATGGGCTGTCCTGGAGAAGGTCTTTGTGGGTCTGCTTAGTCGCCTGTGTATCAGCAGAAGTGGGGTATTGAAGGCTCCAGCTAATTTCCAACTAGTTCTCCCTGTTCTGCCCATTTTGCTTCATATATTTGGGGGCTCTGTCTGCTGTGTGTACATGCAATTGTCACAGCTTTTCCATCCTTTCATTTTAAACCTGTTTGTGGTTTTGGATCTTGTAAGTCTCTTTAGATAGCATATAGCTGGATCATGGTTTGGTTGATTGAAATCTTGCCGATCCCTACCTTTTAATTTATTATTTTTATTATTACCAGTAGCAGTACTAGGGTTTTTCAACTCAGGGCCTTGTGCTTGCTAGGCAGTGCTCTACCACTTAAGCTATACCTTCAGCCCATTTTGCTCTGGTTGTTTTGGAGGTAGGGTCTCACTTTTTGCCCAGGTTGGCTTGGCCCTGATCTTTCTATCTCAGACTTCCTGCCATCAATGGGATGGCAGGCGTGTGCCACCACGTCCAGCTGTTAATTGAGATGGGGTCTCACTAACTTTTTGCCTAGACTGGCCTAGAACCTCTAGATCTCAGCCTCCCAAGTAACTTGGATTACAGGAGTGAGCCACCAGTCCCTGCCTTTTCATTGGAGAGTTTAGCATATTTACTTTTGAGGTAATAACTGATGAGGAAGGACCTCTGCCAAGTTGTTGTTTTCTGTGTGTTACAGTTGTTTTGTTTCTCAGTTTCTTCATTAATGCCTGCTTTGGAGTTTAACTGACTTTTTGTTGTATACCATTTAAATTTCTTTCTTGTTTCCTTTTTTCTTTTCTTAAATATGGAACACTTCATGAATTTGTGTGTCATTGTGCAGGGACCTTGTTAATCTTCTCTGTAAGAGAGAACCTTTGTTTACACTTCTTAGTGGTTACTCTGAAAGTTTTAATTAACCTCTTTAACGCAAACAACTTATTTTGGATTGATACTATCTTAGCTTCAACAGTATATCTTAAAAAATCCTATCCAGCTCTGCCCATCCCCCTTTAGGAGTCATGGATTGTGTGTCTAACCTTGTGTCGTTTTAATATGGATTTATGATCTTGTGCATTTGGTATGTCTTTTATATAAGAAAGTAAAGAGAAGTTGAGAACCCAAAGTACAAAAATATTGGCTTTTGTATTTATCTATGTGGTGACCTTACCAGAGTTCTGTATTTTTTTTTTTTTTGACTAGGGGTTGAACTCAGGATCTCACACATGCTAGACACTGGAGCCATTCTGCCAGCCGTCTTTATACGCTGGTTATTTTTGAGATAGGATCTCACTTTATGAGTGGGCTGGCCTAGACTGAAATCTTTCTATGTGTGCCTCCCCATGTGGCTGGACCGACAGGCACATAGCACTGTGCCCGGCCATTGTTTGAGTGGAGGCTGGCCTTGACCAGGGAGCTTCCCCACCTCTGCCTCCTGAACAGCTATGATTATAGGCCTGATCTGCCTCATTGAGCCCAATGTTCTCTATTTCTTCATCAGGCTTTGAATTACAATCTAATATCCTTTATTTTTCTTTTTTCCCCTTCAGTACTGGGGATTGAATCCAGGGTCTCACACACGCTAAGCAAGCATTCCACCACTGAACTATATCCCCCATCCCTTTTTAAATTTTATTTTGGGACAGGGTTCCTAAATTATTCAAGCTTGCCTTGAACTTGCAACCTTCCTGCCTTAGCTTCTTCTGAGTAGCTGGGATTACAGGTGTGCACCACCATGCCCATCTGGATGGGCAGTTTTCATTTTGCCTGAAGACCTCCTTTAGCGTTTATTGTTGAGCAGGTGTACTAGCAGTGAATTTTTGTTTATCTGGGAATAGTTTAATTTCTTCTTTATTTATAGTTTGGTGGTACTGGGGCTTGAACTCAGGGCCTTGCGTTTGAGCTCTATCACTTGAGCTGCATTACAGCCTGAAGGATAGAGTCATTGTGCATAGAATTACACTTTTTTTCTTTCAGTACCTTAAATGTGTCGCTTGCCCACTTTCCATAGTTTCTCCTGAGAAATCAGCCGTTAATCTTCCTAAGGACCTGTGCTCATGATGGGTTAGCTCTCTCTCACTGCTTTCAAGATTCTCTGTCTTTTGACAGTTTGCTTGCAACCTGTTTCTGTGGATCTCTTGTGTTCATTAGACGAATAAAGTTCTTCTAGTTGAAGTTCTTCTAAAATTGAAGTTCATCGGGGTTCTTGCAATGTTAGATTTGTGCCTTGCCAAATTTGGGGTATTTTCAGCCATCATTTCTTTAAAGCATTCTTTGTGCCCCTTTCTCTCTTGCTTCTGGGACTCTCTTCTTGTATGTGTTGGCATGCTTGATGGTGTCCTATAGCTGTCTTCGGCTGTTTTCATTCTTTATTCTTTCTACTCTTCAGACTGGATAGTCAACTGGCCTATCTTCAAGTTCACTCATTCTCCTGCACGTTCAAATCTGCCATTGAAGCCTTCTAAATTCTTTCCATTTCAGTTATTAGGCGTTTCAGCTCCAGGGTGTTTGGTGTTCTATTTGTTGAGATTGTTCCTTTGGTTTTTTTTAACCGTTTATACATTTATGCATCCTTTGGTTTCTTGATGATGGTCTGTGTTAACTCACTGAGCGTATTGAAGAGCACTGATTTAAAGTGGCTTTTAGGAAGTCCATTGTCTGCTTCTCCTCAGTCTGCTCCTGCTGATGCCGCCTGTGCGTGTGTATTACTTTGTTTAATTTTTGCATGCTTGTAATATTTTGGCAAAAACTAGATGTTCTGGATATTAGAAAGTAATTCTGGAAATCAGACTCTGCTCAGTTTGTGATTATTTTCCTGAACTTTGGATTCTTTGTCGTATTTAGTCTCTGAGGATTAAACCCAGGGCCTGGTACGTGCCACACAAGCTCTCTACCATAAAAATCTGTTTTTTTTTTTTTTTCTTTTTAAAAATTTTTTTGAGAGAATTAATTTTTACTGAGCACTGTCTGAGGCATGAACGGTACAAGAGATTTCTCATGTGTTTTCCTTCTGTTACTATATATTGAATTGTACAAAGTGGCTTCAGTGTGGTGCTTTACACACGCACAGGTCCTGCGTTGATCAGATTAACCCCTCCCCATTGCTCTCTTTTCCCTGCACCCCCACCCCTATTTTCCTACAGCTTTCACTGGGTTTCCTTATGCCATCTTCATAACAGACACAGTGTATTTGGAAATTGTTCACCCATCGTTTTCTTTCTTCCCCCTCACCACCTCATCCCCCCAACAGCCTCACAATTACAATCATGTATCTATTAAATCAGATACATACATACACACACATGCACACACACACGCACACATGGCCTAGATCCTGTATATGAGAGAAGTCTCTGTTTCCTTAGCTTGTGGCCAGCTAGTATTTTGGGAGAGATTTCCTTGAGCACTAAAACTGCCTTCTGTGCACCCTTTACCCCCTCCCCTCCCCCCACTAGTAAATACTTGGGAGGTGGAGATCAGGAGGATCACAGTTCAAAGTCAACCCAGGCAAAAAGTTAGTGAGACCCCCCCCCACATCTCAAAAAGTAAGGCAGCCATGATTGTACACTTCTGTAATCCCAGCTACATGGGAGACCACACGTAGAAGGATCATGGTCCAGTGCCTGCCCAGGGCAAAAACATGAGCTCCTGTTGGAAAAATAACTAAAGCAAAAACAAACAAGCAAACAAACCAACAAAGCGCTGAGGTGGCTCAAGTAGCAGAGCACCTGCCTAGCATGAGCCTTGAGTTCACACCCCAGTACTGCCCAAAAACGACAACAAAAACAAAAGGTGGGGGAAAAAAAGGAGGAGAGGACTTTCCCCAGTGTTTGCAGAATGGCTTTGTGTTGGCACTCTCTCTCATTCCCTTTTGGCTGGGGAATTAAGGCAAACACTGTACCACCGAGTTACATCCCCTGCCTGGGGCACACGTTCAGTGCTTAGCCTGCACTGTCATTTCCAGAGCGACTCCTCCCCCGGCATGTGTGTGGCTTTCTAATTCCTACATCGAGCACCTTGTGGTGCCTGACCTCTCAAGACTTCTCTCAGCTCTTACAGGCTTTTCATGTGGGTTTGATTCAACTGAAACCAGCCTTTTGCCCTAGAGAGCAGCAGGCTTTTACTTGCCTGAAAGGCTTTGAGCAGCACCCTCTCTGAGCAGCCAATTTTGTGCCCTGATCGAGCTCCAGGTTAGGCAAAACAAAGACAGGTGCTTTTCATCAGGTCATCAGGTGACCCCACGCAGGTCACTACAGCCCCGATAGACCCTTGCTCTTTCAGACCTCTGGTCCCCGTGAAGGAGGGACCAGGTTCCCACAGTGAGAGTGCAGGCAGAGGCAACCCTTTTCACGGTTTTGTTTGCTGAGTTGCTGGAAATCTCTCTTTTCTGCGGTTGTGATAGAGCTTATTCTGGTTTTCCATGATTTTTCGGTGAGGAATGGGCTACTGGAGCTGCTTACTCCACCATTTTTGCTGATGTCACTCAATAAAGATTTTTTTGTTTTGTTTTTTGGTGCTGAGGTTTGAACTCAGGACCTACACCTTGAGCCACTCCACCAGTCCTGTTTTGAGTTGGGCATTTTTGAGATAGGGTCTCTGGAACTGTTTTCCCGGGCTGGCTTTTAAATTGCCATCCTCCTGATCTCTGCCTCCTGAGTAGCTGGGATTACAGGCGGGAGCCACCGACACCTGGCTTTTTCTCTTCTTCTTTTTTATAATCTTTCATAATATACTTTTGTAATGAGTAGAGTCAAGAAATTAATTAAGGCTTGTAAAAATTGTTGACAGGATGGGATCCGGCGTGGGAGGCCCAGAGCAGACACTGTCCGGGATTTAATCAGCGAGGGGGAGCACTCCTCCAGCAGGATCCGCTGTAACATCTGTAACAGGGTGTTTCCGAGGGAGAAATCTCTCCAGGCCCACAAAAGGACCCATACGGGTGAGTGGAAAACACTGTAGACACTGCTACAGGTGATAGCTACCTGAGAGCTGATTTGATCTCTGTTTGGGCTAATTAATTCATCTTTTAAGATGAATAAAAGGACTTGTAAGGGCCTTTTATTTCCTTATTTTCACTAGTTGGGAAGTTGTAAAAAGAAAAAAAACCAGGTACTGTGTGTAGTTGTTTTTTGGTAGGGAGTGATGTTTTGGGAAGTACTGGTTCCATATGACATAGATGTTACAGTCATGTTGTTATTAAATTAGTTGTATAATTGTTAAAATTCATTTGTGGGCCAATTATGAAAATGGTAATCATGAAGTTTTGTGGGGGAGCAACACTGGGATTTGAACTCAGGGCCTCGCACTTGCTAGGCAGGCGCTCTACCACTTGAGCCATGCTCCCAGTCCAGTAATCATCAACTTTTCAACAGCAGTTTCTAGAGTGCTCAGTGTGCCATCAGTGTTTGACCTAACCATGAACTCTTTGGTGGACTGTGATTTTTTCAGAATTAAATGTATTACACAAGTAGCCATCCCAAGATTATCGTGAGTCTTTATTTACATGCAGAAATTACACTAAATCCCACGCCAAAGTGAGTTTATAGAGGGCCCTTGTTCTCTCTTATCAAGTTAGCCTCGGGGAAGGAAGCTTTTAGTTCATCTAATAACATAGACGAGGAAACTTCCAAAAACACCTGGCACTACTGGCCCCCAGTCCCTGGAGCCACACAGCCCAGCGTGGTAGTTGGTGGCACCTGTGACCCCAGAGCACGTGAAATGTGGGCAGTCTAACCTGCGGGACATGCTTATTGTTATTATGCAGTGAGACAGATTTTAGGTAAATTAGATTAAATAAATAAGATGCATGATTAAAATTAATCTGACCTTTCTGTTTGTGGCTGTCCTAGCGTTTGAACTCTGGGGCTTGGGCTTCCTAGCGGGTGTGCTACCACTTGAGTCCCTCGGCCAGCCCTTGTTCCTCTGGCTGTTTTTGAGGTTGGGTCTCACTTTTTGCCCATCCTGGATCACAGTCCCCTTATTTTATGTTGCCAATTGTTGTTGGAATGACAGACGCATACCACCACGCCCAGCTTCTTCCATTGAGATGGGGTCTTGAGACCTTTTTTTTTTTTGCCTGCACTGGCCTTGAACTGTGATCCTTCTGATAGCTCAGACTCCCAAGTAGCTAGGATTACAGGTGTGAGCCACCATGCTTGGCTCTTTTTACTTTTTCTAACGTGGCTTCCACAGGTGGTTTGCATTTTATTTCTGCAGGCAGTACTGGTCTAGAACGTGAGCCTTTAACCGGCAGTCCCCTATTTTGCCTGTTATGGTCATCACCTTCTTCTTTTTTGCAGTACTGAGGACTGAACTAACAATTTAGGGTGTTGTGCTTGCTAGGCAAGTCCTTGGTCTATGCCCTCCACCCTTTTTTTTGTTTTTCTTTTGTCTTTAAGACAGAGTGTACTACCCTTGCCTGTGTTGGCCTTGAACTCTTATTTTTTATTTAGTTATTTTTTTGGTGGGACTGGGGTTTGAACTCAGGACTTTGCACTTGCCAAAGCAAGCTCTCTTCCGCTTGAGCCACACCTTCAGTCCATTTCACTCTGGTTATTTTGGAGATGGGGGTCTCGAGAACTATTTGCCAGGGCTGGCCTCAAACCTCGATCCTCCTTATCTCAGCCTCCTGAGTAGCTGAAGAGTACAGGTGTGAGCCACCATCTTCAGCTCCCTACTTCTTTTTTCCTGTCTTCCTTTCTTGTTTGAAGAAGCACATTTTAATACGACAGAGTGCAGTTTTCTTACTTAAATCTGTAAGAAAGGTTGGAGTTTTAATTTTGAACCATTGTAAACAAAGATGGCTAGAGGTTTTAACCTTAGACACCATTAGTAAAACTGTTACTTCATGAAGTGATTTCATTTTGAGAAGTTTTGTTATTTTTTCAATCTAAAACATTTCAGACATTTAGTCTGAAGTGCCCCCCACTCCCTTAAAAGCTGATTCTCAGGCCATAGAGCACTTGTTGAAAGGAGGTTTTCAGACCGAATGAAGAGGCTGGAGTCCAGGCCTGACCTGCTTCTGCTCCACTGGGTCTCCTGCTGCCTCCTGGCCCAGAGGTCTGGGAGGAATGGCTGAGCGCTGATAGCAAGTGCCTTGTGGGAAGCTCCTCCTGGTGCTAGTTAGCGCCCCCTAGCTGTGTTTCACCTTCAGTTGCATTCACCCGTCACCACCACTGACCTCTAGGAAAGAGACGCTTAGGGCGGACTTGTTTTTTGAGTCATACCGAAAGAAGCAGTGTTAAATTGTTGGTAATGTTTTTTCCAAGAACTAATACATTATTTCATTGTGATGGAACAACGTTTTGGGGCCCTTTGAGCCCAGCACTCTGTGGTCTGTAGGGTTTTAAACGAAGTGTGGGGTAATGTGGTCTTGCAGAGGGAGACATTGGCGAAGGTAACACTGAGTTCTTGAAGGGGTACGAGGTTTAAATATTTGGAGGGAGAGAGAGAGAGGAGCTGGTACCCCGAGAGCAGACAGGCTGGGGACGATCTGAGATCGCACGGAAAGTAGGAGGTGTGGTGATGCTTGTCTGTAATTCCAGCTGCTTTGGAGGCAGAGGCAGGGGGGGATGTGGGTAGTGAAAACTGAAAACAAAAAAACAAACTGAAAAACAAAAAGAAAAAGACTGAAAGGATTTTCTCCAGTGCTAGGGTCCTTGTCTAGCAAGTGTGAAGTCAGGTTTGATCCCAGTGTTGCAAGGAAAAAAAAAAAATGAAAAAGACCCAGATGAGGACAAATGCCTCCTGGCTGGACTGTCCCTCCTAGAGGGAAGGAAGATGAGCCCTGCGCCCACCCAGCAGCTAAGATTGTGTGTCGTGCAGATGTTAGGGGACTACCAAAGTCAACGGGCAACTTGGAGTTGTTCAAGGAGTGGAACCGGGCTTGGGGGCGTTAGGGGTAACTGGTATGACAAAAAAAAAGTTCCACGTCAGCTACTCTGGAAGTGCTGTGCTGGGTGGACGGTGGAGAGGCCCTAGGAGGCCGCTGGGGGACCCTCCTGGGTGGGTGGGGCTGCCAGCTTGACCAGCTGGTACCCATGGGGACAGGAGTGGGTCAGTAAACTAAACTAGGGGACAAGATGTGTGGGATAAGCTGAAGACCGGAAGTTCAAGGACTTGACCTTGAGAGCCTACAGCCCTAAAGAAAATCCTGTCCCCCCAGAGGAGAGCGGCTTGACACCCCGAGTGCGCCCCCAGCCTTCCCACTTGCTGCTCAGGTGTGGGTGATGCGTGTGCCCCTGAAGAAAGGTGACTTTCCCGCTCATTCCTCTCCTCTCCTTGTCTCACGTATCATTTAATCTGTCTTCTAGGTGAAAGACCCTATCTGTGTGACTATCCAGACTGTGGAAAAGCCTTTGTTCAAAGTGGACAGCTCAAAACACACCAGCGTCTTCACACCGGAGAGAAGCCTTTTGTGTGTTCAGAAAATGGTACGGTGTGAGAAGTTAAGTTTCGGGAATGACTAGTAGTGAATTGCTAATTAAGATTTGTTTTTCTTGGACTTTTTTTTCTTTTGGTGGGACTGGGGTTTGAACTCAAAGCTTTGCAGTTGCTCTACCACTTCACACCCCATCCCTTTTTGCTTCAGTTATTTTTTAGGGTCTTGCATGTCTTTGCCCAGGGCAGCCTGGATGGCAGTCCTCTTACCCATGCCTCCCATATAGCTGGGATTACAGGTGTGCACCACCACAACCCAGCTTTTTTGTTGATACGGCGTTTCACTAACTTTTTGCTGGGTCTGGACTCAAACTGAGATCCTCTCAGTCTCTGCATCCTGAGTAACTGGGATTGTAGATGTGAGCTGCTGTGCTCAGCTAAACTGTTGCACTGAAATAGGCATACTAGCTTCTCTTATGTGATTTTTTTATTACAATTTCTAAAGCTGTTTTTCTTTCTAATTTAATTTTATCATTTTTGCATTTACTTACTTGTGTATACATTATCTGGGCCACCTCCCCACTCCTATACTTTTTAAATTATCATATCGTTGTGCTGGGGGTACATTATGATATTTACGAAAGCTCTTACAAATATATCACAGTCGAATTCACCCTCCATCATTCTCCTTTATTCCCCTCCCCCAAGATGTTTTTCTTGTGAACATTTTTGCAGTTATATTTGAAATTCAGTACAGTTCTGTTCTGTTGCTGTGTATCTTACTTGAGCGTTGTTACAAATATCTACAAACCCATTTTTAGTTTTTAACATATAAGAGAAAACTTCTACTACTCGTATTTCTGTGTCCAGCTTATTTCATTTAACTCGAGGTCCTCCAGTTCCATCTATTTTCCTGCAAGTGATGTAATTGCATTTTTCTTGATGGCTGAGTAATACTCCATTGTATATATAGCACGTTTTCTTAATGCATTCACTGTGGACAGGAATCTAGGCTGGCTTCATATTTTGGCTGTTTGAACAGTGCCCTCAGTAAGTGGGTGTGCAGGCGTCTCTACTGTAAGCTGACTTCATTTCCTTTGGATAAATACCCAGGAGTGGCTCAGCTGGATCATAATTCTGCTGTTAGCTTTTTTGAGGAATCTCCATCCCCATTTCCATAGTGGTGGCAGGAGTTTACATACCCACCAACAGTGGATAGGGGTTCCTTTTCCCCACATCCTCACCAGGTTTTGTTTTGTGACAGTAGCCATTCTAACTGGGGTAGGTGGAATGGCAATATCGTTTTGGCTAGCGTTTCCCTGATGGCATTTTTTTGGCCATTTGATTTCTTTTTTTTGATAATCTAAGTTTTTATTAGCATGGAATCATTGTACAGGGGGGTACATATGTGCTTGCAATGTATCTTAGGTTCACACCCCACCCCCATCATTCTCCCTCACTTTCCCTCCCCCACTTGTGTTTCTTTGAAAACTGGTCATTTGGTTGGGTTGGTTGTTCTTTGGGTGCTAAGTTTTTTGAGTTCTTTGTATATTCTGGATATGAATCTTGTGTCAGATAAACAGCTGGCAAAGAATTCTCCCAGCCGGCACTCTGGCAATTGTGTCCTTTGCTGGGCGGAAACGAACTTTCCCACCTAGGAAATTTACTTCAGCGTATGTGCCACGGTCACCTCAGTGTTAGATGTTGAACGTACTTTGAAATGATGCTTGTCACCAACAAAGCTGGGGGTGCGCCTTTGCTCAGGTCCTGGGATGCCTTTATGAAAAATTCCAAGGGTGGAATCCTGGGTGCAAGGTTTTGAATGTTCGTGTTCACAGTGGGTGGACACGTGTAGACAGTGATCAAGTTGTCAGAGCCTCTCCCCACCCCTGCCCTGGTAGGCCATGCAGACGCCCATTTGCTTGTGCAATGGTGACTTTCTGGCTTTGTTGACTTTTCCTGGCTGTGAGCTTCTAACAAGCCTCCCCTCCATGTCTCAAAGGCTGTCTGAGCAGGTTCACCCATGCCAATCGCCACTGCCCGAAGCACCCTTACGCCAGGCTGAAGAGACAGGAGCCGACGGACCCCCTCAGCAAGCATCAGACGGTGGACAACAAGGCTGCTGCCGAGTGGCTGGCGAAGTAAGGCTGGGGTGGCCGCTGGGGAGGGTCTAGGCTGGCCAGGGTCAGAGTGGAGACTGAGGACGCTCCAAACGATTCAGAATTATGGGACCTCTGGTGTGACAGAACACTGCAAGGCGGTAATCAATTTGAGTGTCCTAAGTGCAATTTTTTCCTAAGGATACTCGAGTTAAGGACCCATCCATTGTGGCCAGGACACCTCCCTGGCTTTTCCACCCTCAGGGTGGAGTCTGGGACCTCCCTGTGCTGCACCAGCCCAGCATCTGCCTCCTGCCACGCTGGCTGCTGTCACTGGAGGGCTTACCTCTTCTAGGCACTCTTTATGTCCCTCATGTCACCCTGACCTGCTTACCGGCTCCCCAGACAGGCTGGGGCCCTCTGAACAGACCCTTCTACAGCAAGCATCCGTCACGTCTGTGTGGGAAGGAAGGCCACTACCAGAAGATCCAGAAGGGCAAGGTGCTCGTCTTTTCAGTCCTGTCCCTAAAGCCCAACAAGTTATAGGCCTCGATAAATATTTGAGTGAATAAACACCATGTTCTGTCTGGATAAAATATGTAAGCATAAGATATAGAATGTGAAAGTATAGTTTCATTATGCAAGCACAGGTTAGTGCTGCTGTAGAAATTTTCTGTTTGAGTGGGATGGCCTGTGGACACCTTAAACTAAATTTTTCCATCACTTCTTCCATCCCTGTATTGCAGAATTAGTCCATTTTGTTGCTATAACAAGATATCTGAAGCTGGGTATTCTGTAAATAAAAGAGGTTTAGTTTAGCTCCCAGTTTTGGAGGTTGAATAACCAAGATCAGGTGGCCTAATCTGTTTGCGTCTGGCGAGGGCGTCATGGCGGATGATGTCAGAGTGGGGGGCGCCTGTGTGGCAGGGATCTAGGGATCAGTCTTCCTCCTGTGACAGTGCATTCCCAAGGGACTGAGGGGTCCTTCATGAGATGGTGGCCCATGCCTAATGCTTTGCCCTGGGCCCCACCTTTTAAAGGTCCTACTGTCTTTCAGCATCACCCCACTGGGGACTAGCTCCACGCACACAAACCGTATGGATTGCACATTCCTCTTCACCCCCTCTGCCCCATTTTCTCCAGTTTTGCCCAAACCGGAAGGTTACTGGTCCTCCAGGTCTTTTTTTTTTTTTTTTTTTTCCTTTTCCTTTTGTGGTACTGGAGATTGAACCTAGGGCCTTACTCATGCTGGTCAAGTGCTCTACCACTGAGCTATATCCTCAGCTCTTTAACTTTTGAGTCAGGGTCTTGCTAAGTTGCAGAGGCTGACCTCAACTTTGCAGTCCTCCTGCATCAGCCTCCCAAGTAGCTGTGATGACAGGCTCACACTACCACACCTGGCTTCATTCTTGTCTTCATTCTTTCTTTCTTCCATCTACTCAGCCACCAAGTTTTGAATTCTGCCTCCTTACTAATTTAAATTTAGGTACTTGAACCTTCTCAATCCATTCTTTGTCTGCTGCCAGAGGGATCATTCTAAAATTCCAATATCATCGTCGGTATAAAGTCTAGCCATTTGTTACGGCACTCAAAGCCCTTCTTTACCTGGTCCCTGCTAAACTTACCTCTTGCCAATCCTTCAAATCATTCTGAACTAAAGGCATTTGTTTTTCACCTCTGAAGTTATTGACAATGCTTTTCTAGTTCGAGTGCTCAAGACTTCCTGAACATTGTGGTTACATTACTGTTTTTTGTATGTAATTTTAAAAGCAGCTTCCTTGAGCTAGACCTGACATGTAATGCATGTGTGTGTTTGAAGTGTACGATTTGCTGCACGTTGGCGTGTCTGCAGCATGAAGCCATCACGCGATCAAGATGAGGAACACGTCCAGGCCTTCACATGGACTTTCTGCCCCACTCCTCCCCACTCCCCAGTCGACACTGACCTGCACGTACTATAAATTAGTTTGCATTTTCTAGAGCTTTATACAGATGCAATCAAACAGTGTAAATGCCATGTGGTCCTCTCACTCAACCTTATTTTCAACTCCACCCACGCTGAGGGGATCACAGTTCATTGCTTTTACTGCTGTGTAGTAATCCAGCATGGAAACCCCTCGCTTACTCCCTCATCACCTATGACAGACATTTGGGTTGTGTTTAGCTTCTACAAATAAAGGGAGGGCATAGCGTCCAAGGCTCTGTGTGTAATGGTACTGCCATTTAAATCAGCAGTTCTTTCTCTACCAATGGTTGAACATCTGTACTTTCTTTTGTGAATTCTCAGTTGACTAAGTAATAGAATAAGGGTGGTGGTTAGCTTCTGATAAATTCTTGCAGATGCAGTGTGTCATGTTTTGTGGATTTAATGTTTTACATGGTTAACTTTTGGGAGGACATGCTAGTAGGTTTCCCCTCTTTCTCTCTGCCTCTTTCCCTGTCTCTCTCTCTGCCTCTCTCTTTCTCTTTCTCTGTCTTTCTCTCTCTCTGCCTCTCTTTCTTTATCTCTGTCTCTCTTTCTGCATTTCTCTCTGTCTCTCTTTCTCTCCCTCTGTCTCTTTCAGTCTGTATCTCTCTTCCTCTCTCTTTCTCTGTCTCTGTCTCTCTCTGTCTCTTTCTTTCTCTCTCTCTGTGTCTCTCTGTCTGTCTCTCTTTCTCTGTTTCTTTCAGTCTCTCTGTCTCTCTCTTCCTCTGTCTTTATCTCTTCCTCTTTTTCTCTGTCTCTTTCTGTCTCTTCTCTTTCTTTCGCTCTCTCTGTCTCTCCCTCTGTCTCTCTCTCTTTCTCTGTCTCTTTCTCTCTGTCTCTCTTTCTTTCTCTGTGTCTCTCTCTAATCTTTTTTTTTCGTCAGTGTAGAGATGAAGCCCAGGGCCTTGCACACAGGCAAGGCTGCAGCACTGAGCTGCACCGGGAGGGAGATAGTTTAGTTCCAAACCCAGCTGCGTGTGCTCGGGTCCACTGCACATGCAGACTCACGTGCACATATGTGTGCCTTTATTTGTGCTGGAGATCAAACCCCGACCCCAGCTCCATCCCCAGCCGGGTCTGGGGCCACCAGTAGTTAAATGGCAGCAACACCTGCGGAGCAGCGGGTTGGGTATGGGCTGTATGGGATATGGAACCCCGGCTTTATTTAGAGCCTCCTGAGCAGAGCCTTGGCCTCTCTGAACTTGAGCCTTTCTCTCCCTCCCTACTGGGAAGCACATACAGGCACATGTGATGCCTGTGCAATGACCTTGGGACTTCAGTGCTATCTGCCACCTAACTCCTGTGTGGCCCTCCCCAGGTACTGGGAGACCAGGGAGCAGCGCACGCCCACCCTGAAGGCGAAGCTGGTGCCCAAGGCTGACCAGGAGCAGCAGGACCCCCTGGAGTTCCTGCAGTCGGACGGGGAGGATGACGAGAAGAGCGGGGCCCAGCGGCGGCTGCAGGAGCAGCGGGAGCGGCTGCACGGGGCGCTGGCCCTCATCGAGCTGGCCAACCTGAGCGGAGCCCCGCTGCGCCAGTAGCCAGCCGGACGCACCGTGCACAGCACTGCCCAGCGCACTTACTGAGTAGATCTCGGGCATCGCCAAGCACCTTACTCGCTTATCATAGGCTGCTATTCTGTAGAGATGATGAAGAATGTCATTGCTCCATGAATTCGGAGCGAGAGAGAATTGCACTTTTCTTTTTTTTCTATGGAAATGGATTTGATGTAAAGTTTAAGATATTTTGTAAATAGGGTCTGCACAGTACAGGGTAGAAAACTGCATATTGTGGGAAGCCAGATTTTGCAAGTTTAATGCGTTCCTTGGAAGCAGTTCTCACAGGAAGCACTTTCTGAATAAGACACGTGTGTGAAAACAGACAGGATGGTCCAAAGAGCCAAAGAAGTCGAACAGCTTATTTATAAGATCGTTTTTAACAATGCATACTAGTGAGTATGTTTAAAATACTGTAAACACTGACACAAGCCAGCGAAGCCTACGATGTGTATAAGATACACTTTTTAACTTGCGAAGCGGCACGCCCGGTGATGCCAGGGGACTAGGCAACTTGACTGTTTTGGGAGAAGACCAGGAGATGGCTTGGTAAGAGGCGTAGTAGTTCAGGATTTTCAACATTGCAGTGAAGTCAGTCTGATTCTGTCTTTCTGGGGCTGGCAACTCGCTATGATTTTTAAGCACTTGCCACCCTAGCATGTTAACTTGGGGACTTTTGTTGAAATCCGGTGATTAATCTTGCAAAGTCTAGGTAACATGGTCATCGGCGTGTTTATACCGATGATCTTAAGGGCCCTGTAATGAGATCTGACACTTGTATTTCTCTTAATAGAAGGGACACCTGCAGGGTTGTTTTGTAGTGGGATGTTTGAGCTTTTTTTTAGCAAACACTAAATTGTAATTGTACTGCTTGTTTAGTTATCAGCCAGTGGGAGCCTCCATATTTATTTCTGAGCATAAAGCCACCTTCGTGCTTTACTTCAGAATAACAGACCAAGCTAGTTTGTCTTCACTAAATTTAGCTGTCAGCTAAAGACTGCAGAAAATAGTAGCTACTCATATATGTAGGCTTCTGGAATAGTTTTAACTGCAAGTGTGTTAACTCGTGTGGTGGTTTTAAACCTTTTTTTAATCCCCCCCCCAAATAGATGAAGTTATTAAACACCACTTTTTATGTACTGAGGCCTGAGCGCAAAAGGCAAGAGCTGAGCAGTCCACGTGTTTCCCGTGGGCAGAGGCTTCTCACTTTAGCTTTTGTCGTTTGATGGACTAACTACACGTCATGAGTTACAGATTTGCTTCGTGGAAGCCAGCTGCAGAGCGACAGGAAGGGATGGGCTCTTCCTTGCCTTCTTTTGTTGGAGTCTAGGTGAGGTGGCGCCCTGCAAATGTAGCCTATGCGTTGCTTAGATTTGCTTCGTGGAAGCCAGCTGCAGAGCGACAGGAAGGGATGGGCTCTTCCTTGCCTTCTTTTGTTGGAGTCTAGGTGAGGTGGCGCCCTGCAAATGTAGCCTATGCGTTGCTTAGAAATAGGCTTCTTTATCCAGAACTCCCGGCGGGCTGCAGTACACAGGTAGTTTAAAAGGCAGAACCTCAGAGAAGGGGAGGTTTTAAATGTCACAAAGTGTGAAACTGAAGAGATGATAGTTACAAATAATGTGTATGATGAGGACATACTTTAAAAATGTAATTCCTCTGTACAGTAAATTACAAATCTTTAGGGAGGTTTTTTTGTTTTTTGTTTTGTAATAAGAGAATTTATATTTGTAATGGTCTAAAATTTTTGTTTGTAATCTGGCATATAGAATTTTAACTTGGAGCACTTAATAAGCATGGGAAGAGAGACCATAGCATCTGAATTTTCTTGGTTTAGGTTTCAACATTTACTCTAGAATTTTCCTCTCAAATAAATTTATGAGTAGATGAGCTGAAAAACAATAGTCACCAGTCTTGGGAAATTTAAAACCTGATCAATTTACCCAGAGAAGGAAGGGCAGCGCAACTTTTTAAAAAGGATACAAATACTTGCCAATTCATAGGTGGTTAAATTTAAGGCCTTCAAAAAAGTAAGGGTTTTTGTTTGGTTGTTTCTCCAGTCGGCTTTTTTCACCCATAATAGTTAATTCACAGCCATTTTCTTATTTGTGTAATTGGAACAGTTTAAGAAATTATTATAACTCTTTACTACGGAAACATTTTTAAAGGGTTCTCTTTTGATATAAGCTATATATTTGGACACAGTACATTGACATTGGAGGTGTGTTAAGACTGCTTTTTGTTTTAAAAATGTGGTTTACATTCAGATTTTTGAAGTGTTTTACGCTTCACGGGGCTAAGTTGTAGTTTGCAGAGTTAACAGCAGACAGCATATGAATAATTGCTGTAATTTAAAAAGATGCTTTGAATAAAATTTTATTTTAATGTAAAGCTGAAAGTATGTGGTCGTTTTTTAAAGTTTTTTAGAATTTGTTTACCCATCAAGAGTATAATCACCATGTCATAAAAAATGTAAAAGATAAAACATCATCTTGGTACACTTTAGTTTTCATTCTAGTCTCATCCCAGGCTTATTTGCACAGTTGCAACCATACTGTGAATTACTGCTTCCTTAAAATTACAGCCCTTAAGATTATAGATACTTCCCTTCATTACTGAAGAGTTAATAATACGCTGGTGAGGACTGGCAGTGCGGCTCAAGCTGTAGAGTGCCTGCTTTGCAAGCAAGAAGCTCTGAGTTCAAATCCCAGTCCCACCAAATAAAAAAAAATACAGTATCGTAGGTAAGTGCTCAACTCTTGCCAGCCCTATCCCAGGCCTTAAATTAAGGTGACAAGGAATTGGGGTTTCATTTCTCTTATATTCAGGATGTCTTGAATATGGGGGGGTCACCACGCCAAGTATTCACTTAGCGCCTCTTTGCTGAGTCTAGTGACTTGGTTTTCATTTTGCATCATGTATTTTCAGTAGATCTTTAGTTGAGCCCTTGCAGTGGCAAAAGTCATCCTGTCCTGCGTTGTGAAAAGAATCTCCCAAGCATATCTTTCCTGTGAGTTGTGATCTTAAGGTAAAGCAGGGTTTTAACAGTGATGGAAGGTCCTAGAAATATATATATATTTGCATATAATATATATGCAAATTAAAGGCATCTTTGGTGAAGACCATCGTTTAAAGTGGGGGGAGGGGTGTTGCTGGCAGTGGTGCCTAGGTCCTCATGTATACAAGGCAATAAATGTGACCTTAAAATACTGTTTTGAAGCTTATTTGGAGAGTGGCTAGAAACAACTCTTTTGCGGGGTATGAACTAAAATGACTAATTCAGATTTTTTTGGCTCCGCTGAAATAGGAGTTCATTTTCTGTTTTGAGATGGGCTGTGGGCCTTTGGTTTTCCTCCTTTGGGGCACTCTGGGCTCCTGTGGCCTTTCTGGCGCTAGCTGGCTGAAAGTCGTCTGCAAGGGCTGAAGATGTTTCTGTTTCCAGACTCTTGGTTGTGCAGGTCCTGCGGTAGGAAGCCATGGTCCTGGCATCTGTTCACCTAGGCTTCAACTTGATTTTACGCTGCAAGGGGTAGCACTTCTAAACAGCTAAAACTTCTGACTTTCAAGATTAAGTGTTGAGAGTGAGACTGTGGAACACTGGGAACCATGCAGCAAGGACAAGTGGCTGCTCTCCCCGTAGGAAAGAAATGGGCCCGCAGGTGAGGACAGAGGCCAGAAAACCCCAGCCTTCATTTACCCATCCCCAACCATCTGGATAAAGAAAACCCACCCACCAGCGTTCATGGAAGCATTTTTTTTTTTTTTTCATAATAATCCCAAATTGCAAACAACCAGAAGTGCCCATCAATTGCAGACTGGAATTGGTACTTCTCAGCAATGAAATAAATGTTGCCGGCAAATCCCAGCTACTCGGGAGGCTGAGATCAGGCGGTCGTGGTTCGAGACCAGCCAGGGCAGAAGTAGGGCCTGCCGGTGTCGCCTCCCCCGCCCGCTTCCGGCTCCCCGCAGCCCCGGGGCGGAGCAGGCGCTTTGGGGACCGGGTCCGTGCGCACTGCGCGCGGGGCGCGGGGACCGGGGTTCGCGCCGCGCCCCTTCCTGTTCCTGCCGCGCCCTGCCCCGGGGGCGGGGACCCGGGCTCAGTGGCGATGCCGGTGGCCGAGGGCGCGGGCGCAGAGCCGTCCCGGGCCGCCCGGCTGCTGTCCGCGCTCTTCTATGGGGCCTGCTCCTTCTTCATCGTGCTGGTCAACAAGGTGCTGCTCACCACCTATGGGTGAGACGGGGACAGCGGGGCCGGGCGGGGGGCCGGGGACCCCAAGGCCAGGTCACAGCCCGGACGGCCACCGCGCTGTGCTGTCCGATGGCTTGGAGTGGGAAAAGTGATCTGAGTGCGCCTTTGAAAGCGAACAGTTCTTCCTACAAATTCTAGATGTCCTACAGATGAGTCCCCAGCTGACGAGTCCCAAATAGCCAGCCTGAGCAGGGAAAACAACTCCAAGTTTATATGATGTAGGTTTTGTTTGTTTGCTTGTTTGTTTTTGAGGGGGATCGGTTTGTGCTTCCTCTAAAAGCACAAGGAAATCCTGTGTAATTAATTCTGCTAGTAAAGTAGCGATCTTGAAAAGTGCCTGGATTTAAACCCACAGGTTTGGGCCTCTTGGGATTGTCCCAGAGTCAGTGGATGGTCACAGATCTGTTAATGATCTCCCAGGGCTCTCTCCGAGCTGTCCCAAGTGAGGGCTTTTTGCAAACCACACAGTGCTACAAGAACTACCATCACAAGTTGAGAACCCAAAGAGATGTGACAGTTAGCTGGGGAAAGGGACCCAGGAGAGTTCCCTGAGTTGAGCGGCCAACAGATAGTTTTACTCAGCACCGATGGCGTGCCCAGCCCATTTGGGGGCACCAGGGAACCAAAACCACTGCTCTGAGATTCTGTTTCAGTGGTGGAGACAAAAATCAACAAGCAGTTTCAGGTGTGACTCAAGAGTGCCGTGGTTGTGGCCACAGCATTCTTTGCAAGGGCAGCGTGCAGAAATGGCCTTGAACTTGGCTTGCTAAAGGCAGAGGGAAGGTCACTGTGGCTGCACAGAGGGAGCTAGTGGCAGCAGGGGTAGGAGAGAGACTCAGAGAGGAGCAGGTGGCAGGAAGTGGACAGTCTGCTCAGTTTTTACCGTGCACCCATGATGCACCAGGCTCTGTGCAGCAGGTGGACACAGTGGGGTCAACGCCCTCTCCTAAGTGGACCAATAACAAGCTAGGGACATTTTTGTTATGTTAAGTGTGGCCAGATTCTGGAGGAAAAAATAAAAAAGGCAGGAAAGGGGGTTGTACTTTGAGACGCCGTGGTCAGTGATTGGAGGTGACATTTAGCTCAGAAGAATGGTCTTGGAGTCCACTGAGTGAGGTGGGAGCCCTTGGTGTGTGTGTGGGGTGTGTCAAGCAGAGGAGTAACAGGCTCTAAGGTTGAAAGTGGGTATTGGGATCTCTGGGTGGAAGCAGGGAGATTTGGTAGTTTAATTTTACTCTAAAGACAATTGGGAGTCCCTTGGAAGGTTTTATTTATCACGGGAGTGATGTGACATAATTTGTGTGATTAAAATAATTTCTTGGGCCAGTGGGTAAGTGAAGTGCTGTTTTGGTATTGAGGAGGCAAAGCCAAGTCACTGCAGTGCCCTAGGTCAAGATGGCTCTGGCTGGTGGGGGCGGGCAAGGAGCATGGAGGGAAGGTGGTATTCAGTCCAGGTCCTGTGTGAGAGTTTGTAGCATGCCTCCTGGGATCCATAGGAAAGACACCCTGCATCAAAGGAGTGAAGATGATACAGACAGTGCAAGTGAAGGAAAGAAAAAGGTAAGTTTAGTATCTGCCACAAAAAAACAGGAGACTGCCAGGGGCTTGTTGGGAGGGACCAGTGGTTACGTCGAAGGAAGGTTGAAGTGTGTCCACCTTCTGTGCAGGAGGGACTGGGGTGCCAGCTGGCCAAGCATTATGTTTCGGTTGGAAGTGGTGACACTGATCATTTGAAGTTAAGATGTGTCTGGCCAGGAAGAACCAAAACCAGACACCTCGAGTACCAAGGCTGGAGCTGTAGCTCAATGTAAAGTGAGTGCTTGCTTAGGATGCAGAAGCTCTGGGTTCAGTTCCCAGCACTGAAAAAAAAAAATTGAGGTGGGCACTGGTGGCTCACGCCTGTAATCCCAGTTACTCAGGAGGCAAAGATCAGGAGGATCGTGGTTCAAGGCCAGCCTGGGCAAATAGTTCTAGAGAGGCTGTATCTCAAAAATACCCAACAAGTGGGAGAACACCTGCCTAGCAAGCATGAGGCCCTGATTCAAACTCCAGTCCAACCAAAAAAAAAAAAAGCAATTGAGTTGCATGACTGAATGAGGAAATGGAGTTTTGTCTCAGGAAGGCATGAATCCTTATCAGCAAACATTTTCCACACTTCTGTAATGTAATATGCCCCACAGTTGGAGCTCCATTCAAATAGTATTCATTTTCTCATTTCAGAATGCTTGAGGCACCCCTTCTTGGGGGGAGGAAAGTTGGAGTGATTTAGTTACAACAATAAACTTGAAATTCAATTCACAGCATTAGCTGTTTGAGGGTGGTGTGCTGTGTTGGAGGGCAGAAGAGGGGACCTGTTCAAGTTCCCAGGTTCACAAGGTCATTGGAATGTAACTTAGACATGTTTTTTTTTTTTTTTTCTCCTCCATTTTGGGCACACCATTTCTGATTGGGGGTCCAGAACTAAGGGGTGGGCTTAGTTGCCTGTTAGTTTCAGTTCACTGTAACCCTAGCTTTACCTGGGTAGGAAGAGAAGCCTTGAAGAATGTGAACTGTGAAACCCTGGTGGACTGGAGAAAAGATGGGGCCATCCAAGAATCTGTGGCCCGTTGGTTGCACTTGTGGGTTTTTGAGATCAGGATCTGTGCAGGCAGTTTGGAGGTGGAGAGTTTCATTTTTCCCACTTGGATGCCATTTTCGATGATGTGCAAGAATGTATGACGTTAGTTGCTTTAATAAAACTATTGAACTTAGTTGTGCTCAGTTAAGCAAACATTTGCTCTGTATTTTCTGTGTGTTGACTTTGTGATTCATCCCAGGGTTTTGGTTATGTTAGCACAGTGATTTCCAAACCTGCCTGGGAAGTTTGAATCACTGGGGCAGGTTTTTATAAAAAGTTACTGAATTTGAATGGGAAGTCTACATTATAAACAAACTCAGGCTGGGGCATGGTGGTACACACCTGTAATCCAAGCACTCAGGAGGTGGAAGGAGGCGGATCGAAAGTTCAAGACCAGCCTGGACTACATAGTCAGACCCTGTCTCAAACAAAACAAAACAACAACAACCACAAAACCCAAAGCAAAACAGAACATCACAATGACAAAAAAATTCAACTCCTAATTTTCTGTTAGTTTGATGAAAACCTGGTTCTTTCCTGAAGATGCTGTTTTCCCCAATCCCTTTAAAAAAAAAAATGTCTGGATCTCTGTCCCACCCTGGGTGGAGATGGGCTGGGTCCTTTCTGTTTTCCATCCTCTGCTCTGCTGACTTGAATTTTCCACTCTTTTCCTCTCTCCCTCTGTAATGGGTCCTGAGTTCCTGATGACTGATTTCACAACGTCTTCACTTTCCTCTCTATCCTGACTTGCCTCAGCCTCCCCCTGACTTCATCTAGATCCAGTCTGATGCAGCCTGGTCTTGTCTCCAACAAACTGTCCTGCACCCCACTTCCTGTGACCACTCCCAGGACCCGTCCTCACAAGTAACACCTCTGTAATTCGGTCTGTGTATTCATGTCTCCTTCTCTCTGTGTATGAACATCATCCATCCGTCCATCCATTCATCCATCCATCCATCCATCATCCATTCATCCATCCATCTATCCATCCATCCATTTTTCCCAATCCCTTTAAAAAAAAAAATGTCTGGATCTCTGTCCCACCCTGGGTGGAGATGGGCTGGGTCCTTTCTGTTTTCCATCCTCTGCTCTGCTGACTTGAATTTTCCACTCTTTTCCTCTCTCCCTCTGTAATGGGTCCTGAGTTCCTGATGACTGATTTCACAACGTCTTCACTTTCCTCTCTATCCTGACTTGCCTCAGCCTCCCCCTGACTTCATCTAGATCCAGTCTGATGCAGCCTGGTCTTGTCTCCAACAAACTGTCCTGCACCCCACTTCCTGTGACCACTCCCAGGACCCGGTCCTCACAAGTAACCACACCTCTGTAATTCGGTCTGTGTATTCATGTCTCCTTCTCTCTGTGTATGAACATCCATCCATCCGTCCATCCATTCATCCATCCATCCATCCATCCATCCATTCATCCATCCATCTATCCATCCATCCATCCACCCACCCATTCATCCATCCATCCATCCATCCATCCATTCATCCATCCATCCATCCATCCATCCATTCATCCATCCATCTATCCATCCATCCATTCATCCACCCACCCATGCATCCATCCATCCATCCATCCATCCATCCATCCATTCATCCATTCATCCATCCATCTATCCATCCATCCATCCATCTCAGTTCATCCATCCATCCATCCATCCATCCATCCATCCATCCATCTATCCATCCATCCATCCATCCATCCATCCATCCATTCATCCATCCATCCATCTAAAAAGACAGCCAAAATTATTGTCTAATGGCTGCGTTTGAAGGTTCCTCTCAGGTGGGGATCCCAGGTTGCACTTTGTGTTTGAAGTCTGGCTTTTACTGGGCTCCATGAAGAAAAGAGAAACTGACGTTCAACTCAGAGAATTGCTGATTTTCAGATATGTGGTCCATCCCTTTGTGGAGGATTAGCCCTAGGACCCCATCCTTTCACCCGAAATCCACGGTTCTCGTGTCTGTGTAAAATGGTGCAATGCTTGTATACCACCTGTGCACATTTTATAACTTTAAGTCATTTCTCATTACTTATCATGCCTATTGCCACGTCAGAGCTCTGTAGGGAGTCGTGATAATGTGTTGTTTGGGGAATGACCATAAGGAAAAATTTCTGCACATGCTCTGTACTGATGCAATTTTTTTCCTCTCAAAAGTATTAGATCACAGTTGGTTGTACACACGGATAGGGAAAATACAGACATGAAGGGCCAACTGTATACATTTCTTCACTACAAGGGTTAATGGTTCTTAAAACATCCCTTTAAGCTGGTGGAGTGGCTCAAGTGGCACAGCGCCTGCCTAGCGAGCATAAGGCCCTGAGTTCAAACCCCAGTGCCTCCAAAAACCAAAACAAACAAAAAACATCCCTTTAAGATTAAGAGGTCGTGGAAAGCATTAAGAAGTGAGAGTCATCATGTTTATTTTATTTAATTATAATTAGTATTATTTTGTGGTGCTGGGAATGGAGCCCAGGACCTTGCACCTGCTGGGCAAGGGTTCTACCACTGAGCCACACCCCAGCCCCTGACCTCCTTATCTTGTGGATCATGTCACACCTGTGATTATAATCCTTGCTTGCCTTTGCTGTATATTTAAATGGATAAGGTGACCATCGGTAGCTCTTTACAATATCCCCAGGCTTGAGTTCTTACTTCCATTTCTGTCACTGGTGGACTTTGCAGACTACTCAAGATCAGCAGGGAAAGGGAAACCGAAGCAGTTTAGCAGGAAGCAATGTTTTATTGTGGCAGCACAGACTCAGCAGACTACAAAGGGCTGTCACCTTACACACCCTTGCAAGCAGGTTACACAAGCCAGAAGCAAGGTTTAACCCATCTATGGTTGCATGTGACTCCATTGGCTACTTCACCCCCAGTGCCATGTGACCGTCTTCACGTTCAGATTCTTTATCTCCCTGCTAGGCCGTCCCTCCCCCTGCTACATTATCAGAACAGAGCCTTGCTTGCTTCTTTTCTGGCCCTCCTCCTTGCTACTGGGTGGGTTTTTGTGGAGAGTTCATGGCTGTTAGATTTGTCTTTTGGATGATGCTTTGGAGACTCCCCGTTCCCCCCACCCCCCATCCCCTGCCCAGGCTGTCCACTTGCAAGACAAAACTGAGCCCTGCCTCCAGCCCTTCTGTTACTTTTTTTTGGGGGGGGTGGGGAGTGGTACTGGGATTTGAACTCAGGGCCTACACCTTAAGCCACTCCACCAGCTCTTTTTTGCGATGGCTATTTTCAAGATAGGGTCTTGTGAACTATTTGCCTGGGCTGGCTTTGAACCGAGGTCCTCCTGACCTCTGTCTCAGGAGTAACTAGGATTACAGGTGTAAGCCACCCGGCCTCCTGGCCTAAAGGCTTTTATAGATGTGGCAGTTAGCTTGTTTTGGCCCTCAAGGATTTCCTGAGATCTGCGTGCTCTTCTCATCCCCACTGGCTGTTTTGTGTCTTAATTTTGAGCTCTTGTTTTGTGGAAGTTCTTATTCTTACTAAGCTATCCTCTACCCTGAAGCAGTTCGGGAAGGTTCTTTCTCTTCTAGGCTGAGCTCTTTGTGTATTTTCTGGAAACCCTGTGTTCTTGCTTCATTGTTTGTACTGTTGTCTTGCTATTTTTGCCCAGGGTTGCAGGTTGTGCTCTCTGAGGTGATAGGAAGAGTCGTGGCCTGCTCCTGCAGGCACTGGTGGGCAGAGGGACAGGCTGGGCTGTGATGCAGTCACCACAAAGGCCTGATCCCAAGGGCTCTGTGGCCTTTTGTCCCGTGTAGATTGCAGTTGGATGTAGGCTGTTCTGGTGTTTGGGGGGGGGGTTATGTGGGTGGCACCACCCAGAATCCCCCAGAGTTCATTTGATTTTCCTGGTGGTACTGTGCAGAGATGCCTTCTATTTTCCGAGAACTTAGGTTTAGCTTTCTTTCTTTTCTTACCCTGTTTGAGATGGGTGTACTTCCCCTCTGACACACAGAGAGAGGGCTGCTGGTTTTTTTGGTGCTATGTCAGCTTTTCTCAGAGCCAGGGCAGGGCTGAGCAGTGGACAAGCCCGTTGGGGTGACACACACATGGCCTTGCTGAGTGCGATGTGAGGTGGGGACCAGTTCTGGACCCAAGTTACCTCGACTTCTCTCACTCACAGCTGGGTCCTGTAAGGTCCTGTCAGGTGTCCAGGTGTGAATTCATCTGTGTGGACTGCCTGAAAAATAACACCCTGCCTCTTTTACTGTAACCAAATGAATCCTGCTCTCCAGTAGAGTAATTCTCCATCTTTGTTCTTTTTGAAGATTGTCTTGGGTGGTTTTTCGTTTGTTTGTTTTTTGCCTTTCCACTCAGTTTTAGGATCATCAGTTTTTATTAAATATTTATTAATATATTGACTGAGAATGTATTCATTTTATATGACACTGAATTTCTAATCCATGATCTTTAATTAGGTCTTTTTAAATTTTTTTAATATCAATTTATAGTTTTATATACATGTCTCCTTGTAATCAGTGTCTTTTCTAAGGTTACTTTTATTAATTTTAATAATTTGTCATCGGTTTTATTTTGGTTTTTTCTACATACATAAGCATGTCTGTTCTACCCACAAAGGGCAAAAGAATATTGCCAAGTTTAGCCATGATAAGTTAAAAAAAATGAAAAAGAAACAGAGAAATGGAACGTGAATAAACTTGATGCTAAGTTTCCATTGGCCAAGACTCTTTAATAACCCCGTTCTCATGATTTATGTGGGTACAGATTTTTGCATGTTGTTAAACTGATACCATTCTATTTTCTTTGTAGCTTTCCATCACCAATTTTTCTTGGAGTTGGACAGGTAAGTAAAAAAAAAAAAAATCACCCTTTTAATTAGTCACCAGTGTTCTTGATGACGTTTCAAGTGTTTTTAATTTAAGACTGTGGTTGACAAATTTATCCAGCTGCCAGAGGATCAAAGGACTGAAAATTCTGGGTGAGACAACATGAACTATCAACTCATATTTCTTTCCTTCCTTCCTCCCTCCCTCCCTCCCTCCCTTCCTCCCTCCCTCCCTCCTTCCCTTCTTCCTTCCCTTCTTCCTTCCCTCCTTCTTCCTTCCCTCCCTCCCTCCCTTCCTTCTTTCCTGCCTCCATCCCTCCTTCCTTCCCTCCTTCCTTCCTTCCCCTTCCTTCCCTCCTTTTCTTTTCTTTTTGCTTGGATGAGCTTTCAAGCTAAGCTCACTTAGCAATTGTGTGTCCCACTCATTGCTGGGTGCTTTGTGTGTTCTTTGGTCTGGTGTTGGTGATTTCCAGGAGACCAAGTAACAAGCACCACAGATTGGGCGGGGTTTGCTTTGATTTAGAAAGCTCACAATATTGGAATTGTGTCTGTTTACTGCAATGTGGGGGGGATTGTCCCTTAATGGGCGAAGGTGACATGTGCTTGATATGGGGGAGGTGTGGTCCAGGATTGTGAGGCCACACCTCACCCACGGGGTCACTCTGGTCACTGTGAGGGACACCATTCCTTTTCTCCCTGCCGTCCTTTCTAGAGCCCCTGAGATGCTGTGTCAATGTGTGAGACTATTCGATGGTGTGCGTTTTGCATCTTGTTCCCATGGGAACCTAGAGTGTCAAGACAAACAGCTTTATCATTCTGTGCCATGCTTACTTTTCTCTGAACCTGTAAAGTGGATTTTTTTGGGGGGAGGGGGGCAGTTATTCTTTTTGAAGAATCTGCTTTCTTCTTATGATCGCATTGCACTTTAAGTGATCTTTCTAGATGTTTTGCTGAAGTTTCTCTTCTTTTCTTTAGATGGCAGTCACCATAACGATACTGTATGTGTCCAAGCTAAATAAAATAATTCACTTCCCTGATTTTGATAAGAAAATTCCTGTGAAGGTATGTGACACAGGCTGGGGGAGGCACAAAGGGTGAAAGCATTCCAGAGGGGCCTGAGAGTAGAGTCCTCTGCGCACACTGTGCGTCCTGCTGACACCAGGGAGGAATTTCTCTTTTTCTGTTGAGGTGGAGTCCCGCTATGTAGCCCAGGCTGGCCTCGAACTCACGATCCTCCTGCCTCAGCTTCTGGAGCGCTGGCTCTGAGAGTTCTTAGTAAAGACGGTAGCAGCCAGCTGTCATTTCTGTAATTCAATCACAATACAGGTCTGCACTTGGTACCAAAATAACACTCCAGGCCAAGGCTTGGCTAGGGGCCAGGCCAGCTCTGTCCACCGCTCAGCCCTAGATGAGATGTAAGTGATTGGTGTAATTGTGTTCTAATAAAACTTTATTTATTTGGCCCTGGGCTCTAGCTTGCTCCTTCCTGTTTTCACTTTTTATTTTTAAGATTAAAAAGTTATGAGTGGAGTGAAGAATGGAATTTGACATAAGCAGACATACGCCAGACACTGAGGCAGGCCTTTAATTCTTGACGGTGGCATTTGGATTTAGAGGGCTTTGAGCAGAGTGGCACTCCTCCCAGGTGACACTGTCACATGGCCTGTGCACTGCGTGTCACTCATGCCTGGGGAAAACAAATGCCAGCTTCGTTAGCCCTGGATTGTGGATTCAGCACGTGCTTACAGCATCAATCAATAATCAGGGATAGCCAGGTGCTGATCACAGCTGTAATCCCAGTTAAGGAGGCTGAGATTTAGAGGATCCTGGTTCGAGGCCAGCCCAGGCAAATAGTTCTCGAGACCCCATCTCCAAAATACCCAGAGCAGAATGGACTGGAGGGGAGGCTCAAGTGGTAGGGCACCTGCTTTGCAAGCGCAAAGCTCTGAGTTCAAACCCCAGTCCCACCTGAATAAATAAATAATAATCCGGGTCCTCTCCAACAAGTCAAAAACAAAATGTCACAGTAGATGAGAGATGTCAACCTACCCATCACGGCAAAAAATAAGACTGTTGTTCACTGGTTCACATTATTTTATACTACCTCATAAAAAAACCGTGAAGACGCAGAAATGTGCCTTCTCAGCAGAAGGTTCAAGACGAAGTGTGAGTGTGTGTGTCTGAGAGAGACAGACAGACAGACAGACAGATAAGGAGACCCGGGGGCTTTCCCTCTTGTTTCAGGGGCACCAGTCCGACTGGATGAAAACCCTTCCCATAGCTCTTCATTTAACCTCACTTAGCGCCTTCAAAGCCCAGTGTCCAGACATAGCTGGACTTGGGACAGGGGCCCAACAGGGACTGTCCTCTCCACACACGCCCGATTGTCTCTAAAGGGCCACCAGGGCTGGCAGTCAGGGCACACGTAGCTTGGGCTCTCCAGGGGACCCTGCTGCCCGCCTCCCCGCAGTGCACAGGGACGGCCCTTCCCGCTCCTGGCCTCGTGGTGCCAGCCGTGCTGAGTTCTTCTGTGCCCTCCTGGGCAGCTGTGTCCTGGGTTGGTCACCCAAGATTCGAGTGAGGCTCAACGGCTTTCCATGGCTTCTTCTTCTGCCCAGTCCCCGCAGTGAGCTACCACGGACAGCTCAGTTACAGCCAGGCCTTTTCCTTCTTTTTGTCTCTTTGGTGGGACTGGGATTTGAACTCAGGGCCTACACCTTCAGCCACTTCACCTTTTCTGTGATGGCTTTTTTCAAGATAGGGTCTCACGAGCTATTTGCCCAGGCTGCCTTCAAACCTCGATCCTCCTGATCTCTGCCTCCTGAGTAGCTGGGATTACAGGCGTGAGCCACCATACCAGGCCCCTTTTCATTCTTTAGCTTCCACTTGGATATCCCCTTTTGTGAACTACCTGTCCAGGACTTTTGTTCATTTTGGAAGAATCACCAACCTTGTGACATTCTACAAAGAGATCTGAGCCCTGTCTTTGTCCAGAAGCGCTCACGTATGTACAGACAGACGTTTGCATGCCTTGTCACCAGCCTTTTGAAGCTCATATATAAACTAGAAGTGCCCATCCTCAACTCACCAACACAACTCGGGGGTCTCCCCACCGGAGAGGGCCTTGTCCCTCTTCCACCAATGTGGGCAAAGGCAAGACTTCAGTTTCTTAAACTGCGCGCTGGTGGCTCCCGCCTGTCATCCCAGCTACTCAGGAGGCAGAGAACGGGAGGATCGCAGTTCGAAGCCAGTCCCGGGCAAAGAGTTCATGGGACCCTATCTCAAAAAACAAAAGAAATTTACAAAAAAAGCTGGAATGGCTCAAGTGGTAGAGTGCCGGCCTAGCAAATGTGAGGCCCTGAGTTCAAATCCCAGTACCACCAAAAAGAAAAACAAAAGAGGACATCAGTTTCTTTACAGAAGAACAGTGTCACTCCCTCATGTAACTCTTTTGACCTTGTGGAGAAATTTGGGGCTGCGTTTGGGATTTTGGCAAATTCAGTCCTTGCTGGCAAAGAGACGGAAATGATTTGTGTGCTGAGGGCGCACAACTGACATTTTGAGATGTGAGGGAAGAGAATTCTTGGTGTTCTAACCAAATATTCAATCTTTTTTCTTTTATTGAAGCTGTTTCCTCTGCCTCTTCTGTACGTCGGGAACCACATAAGTGGATTATCGAGCACGAGTAAATTAAGGTACAGGGCGGATAACGGTTGATGGGAGGTTCTTACCCCTCTGCCTTCAGGGGTTCAAAGACAAGAGTTTGATTTTCCCGGATGTTGCTTGGGCTACACACAGAAGACAAAAAGTATTTAGTAAGTTAAGAAAGCAAGGTACAGCTGGGTGCTGGTGGCTCACGCCTGTAATCCCAGCTACCCAGGAGGCAGAGATCAGGGGGATCACGGTTCAAAGCCAGCCTGGGCAAAGAGTTCCTGAGACCGCCTCTCAGTCTGTAAAACGCTGGGCACAGCAGTGCGTACCCGTCATCCCCGCTACGTGGGAAGCACAAATAGGACATCGAAGCAAAGCCCTGTCTAAAAAAGTAACGAAATCAAAAAGTGCTGGCGGAGTGGCTCAAGTGGCAGAGCGCCCGCCTAGCAAGGCTGAGGCCATGAGTTCAAACCCCGGTATCGCCAAAAAAAAAAAAAGTAAGGTGTGATTCTGAGTAATCTCGCCTTTGGTTATTTTTGTTTAAAGTCATTGTGCAAAACAAAAGCCACCCTATTAACCCACAGAGGTGACAAGAAATGTGTCGCCTCACTGAATCCACGTGAATGAAGGCCTACAGAATGAGAAAGTAACATTTGTGCAAAAGGTGACAGAAATGGAGGAGACTCTGTCGGAATAGTGACAGTGGAAGAGGTAGGGGTGACAGACCAGAAGGACCAGGACAGATAAAAATTGGAAAGGACAGGTTGTGGTTGTGAAACCAAAAGGATAGGTTTTCAGTGATGTCTTTTAGTCGGTTTCTTGTTTCCTCTGGTCCAGGACAGTGGGTTTGCCTCAGCCACTTGAGACTTGTGTTAGGGTGTCCTGTGGCTGATCCTCTTGTGGCTTTTGTGCCTGCCCCTGGGTGCACCTGCAGCCCTGGAGGAGGAGTCTGACAGCTGCCCACCTTGCCCGTTGGGGTCTCTGCCTCACAGACGAGGACTCGGGGGGCCTGAGGGTGTTCTCAGAGGTGAGGGGGAGCCAGCCAATGGGGTCAGACGTAGGAAGGAAGAAGGGTTGTGTTCCTCCATCCCTTGCGTTTTCTACAAACTGCTCTTTGCTTCTAGGGCTTGGTTGGATTTTGGTTCAGGTTTGCAGGCCGGATGGGCTTCTTGGTGGCGGTGTTGGTGTCTTTCCACTGCTCACTTGAGTCTGCTTTGGCTGACATTCAGTTGCTCATTTTGGTTTGGGTGATTTTAAGGAGTCAGTGAGGTCCCTTTTACAGAAACTTGTCCATGTCTTCCCCCTACTGGTTTCTGCAGCTGTGGTTGGCCACGGTCTAGAACCATGGCTTCATCACACAAAGCAAAATGGCGCCCTTCTGCTTCAGCGTCCACTTCAGTGATTTCACCAGTGCACATGGGAAAGGCAGGATGAAGGCTTTATTTATAAATGTTCAGAGTGGTAAATTAGTGTCCTGTCACCTTCAGTGGTGGCCAGTGGGATCTGTTCTGTTTTCTTCTGTCATTGTGACCTCATGGATTTTCATTTATTCAAACACAAGGCCTTTCTCAGATAGGTCTTTTGCAAATATTTTGCTTTTTTCCTTCCCTTCCTCTGTCTCCCTCCATTCCTCTCTCCCCTCCCTCCCTTCCTTTTTGTTTTCTTTTTTATTTTGAGACAGGGCCTCACTGTGTGGCCCGGGCTGGCCTCCAACTCAGAATCTTCCTGCCTCAGCCTCCGGAGGGCTGGAATTCCAGGCTTGTGCTAGGATGCCGGCTTCTTTTCACTCTCTCAACACTGTCTTTCGTACAGCAGGGTTTTTTTTTGTCTTTGTTTAATTATTATTTTATTTTTTGGCAGTACTGGGATTTGAACTCGGGGCCCTGAGCTGGGTAGGCAGGCGCTCTGCCTTGGCCAGTTTTTAATCTCAGAGAAGTCCCACAATCAGTATTTCCCTGTAGAATTTCAAAGCCCAAGGTCGCCCAGCTTTGCTTCTGTGGTCTCTTCCACATATAGCTTCACGTTTAGCTCTGTGACTTGTTTTGAGTGACTGTGTGTGAGAGGTCAAAGTTCTGTGTCTAGATTCGGTTTCTTGCGTGTGGATGTGAGTCCTTTGGACACCCTCTCTTGAGGGGACTGTCTCCCTGCCTGGAACCGCCCTTGCTGCTTTGGCAAACAGGATCAGTTGGATTTGGGGGTTTGATCCATTGCTGTCTTTGTCCCGTCCATGTGATTGAATTCATTCGAAGAGAGAATTGTCCCATCTCAGGCCACTGGGAATTCCCCTGGGTTGGACCCACGAACTGGGGGTCCCCGTGCACTTTGAGTTCTTCTTTGCTGTAGGGCACGTGGTGCTCAGGCTGATCTGGGCTGTTGTCCTTCTGTTTCTTTGAGGATCTCCGTGTTACCTTTCATGTTAAATGTGTCCCACGGTATGAATGCCGGACAGACGAGGAAGGAAGGACCTCAGCATCTTGGTCAAGAAGATGTGGCGTGTGGAGGAAAGGGGATGATGTCGTGGGTTTGGGTGTGATGAAGAGCGACTTAGGGCTGTCATCGGCTGGGGAGACCATGATATTCAGCGAGATGAGTTGAGCTCAAAAAGTCAAATACTGGAAGTTGTCACTTCCAGTATGGGGAATCTTGACCTAAGATGATGGTGATGGTGACAACGATGACAGTGATGGTGATAGACCTTGAGCATACAAAGGGGACTTTCTGGGGGGGGGTGATCAGCAGCAGGGGGAGGAGAAAAGGAAAGGGTATGGGGGGGAGGTGACAGGGATCAAAGTCACACCTATCATCTATCTATCTCTTTATCTATCTATCTATCTATCTATCTATCTATCTGTCTGTCTGTCTATCTATCTATCTATCTATCTATCTATCTATCTATCTATCTATCTAAAAATAGCATAACGGAACCCACCAAACAGTGAAGAAAGGAGGGCAGGAGCTTAGGAGGACCTAGTAGAGAGGGTGAGCTTGTTCAGGGTACACCGTTCGCATTTATGGAACTGTCACAATGAAACCCCCTCGGACTATTAATGTGTGAAAGTAGTGAGGAAACAAAAAGAGAACTGCTAGATTACATGGCAGTTTTCTGTGTAACCCTTTGAGGAACTGCTGAGCTAATTTCCAAACTGGCCACATCATCTTATATTCCCACTAGCCACACATGAGGGCTGCAACTTCTGTACAGCCCTGACAAATTTAGTATTCTCGCTCTCCCTCTCTTTTGGGTGGTACTGGGCTTTGAACTCAGGGCCTTGCGCTTGCTAGGCAGGCCCCCAGCCAGCCCTTCTTGGGTCTTTCTTTGATTATAGCCGTCCTGGTGGCTGTGCGGTATCTTGTGCTTTGCTTTCCGTCCCCCTGGCGATGCCAATGACACACTTTGTGTGTGCCTGTTGGTCCTTTGTACACCTTCCTCAGAGAGGTGACTGTTCAAAAGCTTGCTGTTTTTAAATAAGGTTTTATTGTGTTTTTATTATTGAGTCATAAGTGGACTTTATATATCCTAGGCATATATATATAAATCAAATATAATATATATAAATGATATATATATGATTTATAAAATCCTACCCTAGTCTATGGGTTTTCTATTTATTTATTTGTGTATTTATTTATTCTTTTATTTATTTAGGGTAGGACTGGGGTTTGAACTCAGGGCTTTGCACTTGCAAAGGAGGTGCTCTACCACTTGAGCCGCACCTCCAGCCCATTTTCCTTTGGCTAGTTTGGAGATGGGGGTCTGGTGAACTGTTCGGCTGGTGTCAAGCTCCCACGTAGCTAGGATTACAGGAGTGAGTCAGCAGCTCATTTCTTGACCCTTCCTTTGGTTCCTTTGGTTGCATTTATACATCATAAAACCAGTCCTCGCTAGCCTCGGTGATGGTAGCCTTGTAGTCAGTTTTGACAAAGTGTGGGTACACCAACTTTGTTCTGTTTCAATATTGTTGTGTTTCTGTGTCCCTTGAATGTCCACGTTGAGTTTCCAATCAGCCTGTCACTTTCAGCCAGGGAAAAGAAAAGGAAAGCCAGCTCAGATAGGTTTAGTTTGAGTCTGCACGTGGCAGGGTCTGCAGTGATTTAATCATTTTGTTTATGTCACTTAAACATACCATTGATTGATGGTAAATAGAATTACTGTTAATTCCTTCTGTTTAATTTGGGAAAGAGCGGGCTTGAATTAAGAACATACAACGGGTTTACCACAGCAACACAGGGTGTCTGATGTCCTCCCATCTTCTTCTGACAGCCTCCCCATGTTCACTGTGCTCAGGAAATTCACCATCCCACTCACTTTGCTGCTGGAAGCCATCATACTTGGGTGATTTTGTTTTCCTTCATCCCCCCACCCCCCAACCCCGCCCCCTGTGTGCCCCCCTGCCCCGCATTATTTTTATTCAATCAATTCTCACCAGTTGACCTCTTTGCTAGGAGTCGCTTTGAATTGCTAGCTGCAATAACTAAAGGAGACTTAAAAGCAGTCAGCTGTCTCCACGATTTCCCAAGAACTCAGTGAGAGGTTTTTCAGATTTGTTGGTTTCCATTAGCCAAACACCATCTTTATGGTAGAAAATTACCAAAGACAAAGCAGTGCCCCAAACAGATGTGAGTCCGGTGCTGGGCCAGCTGGGCTTCGCACTGTTTCTGGAATAGAGAATTACCCAGGAAGCCATGTAGAATAGGACACTGGCTGTCAGGAAAGCCAGTTCTCATGGACTGCCTACAACAGCATCAGAATAGATTAATTTTTATAACGTTGGCATAAAACCTTCCCACAGGGACACCGAAGCCCGACATCCCTAGAGGGGACTCTTGATTTTTGCCCTGCAGATTTTTTTTAGCAAGGAAATTTAGTGGGAGACTTCACTATTTGAAGCCTCAGTATTAAATTTTATCTTAATTCTTGAACGTCCTCTACGATTCCATGAAACCAGACTCAGTGACAGGCCCTCTTCTGCATTTGTCCCAGCATCTCTCCCGCGAGGACGGAGAAAGCACTGGGGATTTGATCATGAAAACTGCTTAAGACATAATATAAATGTAAATTTGACTGACTTGCAGATGCCTCCTCTGCAGGACAAATGCATGGTCTGTTAGATTGGAGCTGAGAACACTGACGTCTATTTTCAGGTTGGTCTGGAGATGTACTCTGTATCTTAACTTTCCTTTTCCTCCTCCTTGTTTGCTTATTCCAGGAAGCAGTACTCACTCAGTGTCATCACCAGCGTCTTCGCCATCATTGTGGGAGCTTTCGTAGCAGCTGGGTAAGGCTGCTTCTGCTCAACCGTTTCTTTGTGTCTGTGACAATAGGTCTAGCCTCATTCTTGCTTTCCATTTTCCATCTGGCTGCAGTTGAATTGAACAGCTGAGGGACAAATCTGTTGAGGTTTGGTGGCCTCCCCGTGTGCCTGTGACCATCAGGCTGGGCCCCTGTCGGCCAGAGCACTTCTAACAACACAGAGAGCAGGTCCTTCTAGACCTTAGGGCAACTGTTTTTACAAAAAGCCACGAAATGAGTGGCTTCCATATCCAAATTTGACTTACAAAGGTCATAGGGTTTTGATTTTAAAATAGCAGATCTGAGCTGGTTGTGGATCTCAGTGGTAGGGTGGTGCTTAGCACGCACGTCCCAGGTTCAATCCCCAACACCAAAAACCATACATAACCCCGCACCAGCCCGCAACAGACAGGTAAAGCCTTGTGTGTTGTGCGTTGTTTTCACTCCATGCTGCACCATTTCCAGTGGACAGTGCTGCCACTAAGTGCTTTTGCATGTTTGGGGTACAAGCCAACACTCAGTGCAGGGTAACTGACTGACTGAGTGATTACTTTGCAAGGGTAGGAATGAGGACGCTGGGCTTTTGTTTGCAACTTGGTACTCAGATTCCTCTCTGTCTCTCTCTCTCTCTCTCTGTCTCTCTTTCTCTGTCTTTCATGGTACTGGGGTTTGAACTCAGGGTCTCCCACTTGCTAGGCAGGTGCTCTACCACTTGAGCCACTCCACCAGCCCTTTCCTGTGATGAGTTTTTTTGAGCTAGGGTCTCACTAACCATTTGCCCAGACTGGCTTTGAACCTCGATCCTCCTGATCTCTCCCTCCTGAGTAGCTGGGATTACAGGCGGGAGCTACCAGCTCCCGGCTGTTCATCGTTTTCCTCTGTCCGCTCTGTGTCCTTGGTCCCAGCGTGGGCTGAGGTGAGCGCCCATGGAAGCTGGCACTTTGGGTTTTTTCTCTCCATTTCCCTCTTACCACAAAAGGTGGCACTCAGAGCCTGTTTCAGGGACTGAGTTCGAATGACTTCGTGGGGAGGGGCTCGGTGGGGTGTCCCTTCCCCGTCTCTTCTGAAAACCACCCAGCGAGGCCCGGCTGAGGACTTTACGAAGTGGCTTATGGAGGTCGCTGTGGTGTCTGGCAAGGTGCGTGGAAGCCTTTTAACCTCATCCGATGATGCCCTGGGGAGCCACAAGGGAAGTGGGGTTTCTAGAAGCCTCTCGCTTTTACCCAGGGGCCACTTCGGAGTGGTGGTTTTCAGCACACACAGAATGGGTCCCCTCCTGGTGGTGACAGGCCAGCTGTGACCCCAGCCGTCCCCTCACCCAAATGCAGATGTTAGTCAGATGAGCCAGTTGAGGCTTCTGGGATCCACATCTCCCCAGGTGTCCACACCAAGCGTCCTCTGCCAGGTCGTGCATGCAAAGCCACAGCAGTGGCTTGGGGACTCTGCTCGCTGTCACCCAGGGTCCCTGCTGATGGACGGATCCCTGCCTCAGCCAGACCTGCATCCAGGCAGGAGAAGGGAATGCTGCCTTGAAGTGACAGGTATCACATCTTACCAAAGCAAGTCACAGGGCCAGAGAAAGTTGGCAAATGGCTCTAAATGACAGCCATCAGGGTTGGCCACGAATCTGCTTTCTCAGCCACTGTTTTCCCTCATAGAGTCCTTACTCACTTGCACAATTCGTCTGTCTCTGGATGCTGAAACCTGCGTTTCGTACGTCCCCACATCTCCCTGCCTCCTTGAGCTCCACTTTTCTTCGAACTCCTGTGCACGTAAAGTATTAATAAGATTGGAATTCCTTTCCTCTTGTCCATCTGTCTTTTGTCAGCCAGGTGGATGCGGTACCATACGCCTGTAGTCCCAGCCGCCAGGGAAGATGAGACTGGAGGTTTGCTTAAGCCCAGGAGTTTGAGGTCATGTTGGACCACACAGTGAGATCCTGTCCCAGAAACCAAAAATAAATAAACAAAGCCAAAGCAAAAATCAAATTTGTAGGGCTGGGGGCATGGCTCGAGTGGTACAGTGTGCCTAGCAAGTGTAAGGCCCTGAGTTCAAACCCCAGCACCACCAAAAAAAAAAAAAAACCAAAAAGCAAAAATAAAAAAAACCAAATTTGTGGGTCCCCAGGCACTGAACCTAAGAGGACAGATAAGAGGTTTGTCCTCTGTGGCAGCTTTTGTCACAGGGGATAGCTCTGGTGTGCTCTCTGAGGGTGAAGTGTGGGTGGATTAGATCTCATCGTATATGAGCTATTTTTTCCCCTCATCCCTGTGTCAAATCTCTCTAAATGAATTTATACTGGTGTTAATTAAAATGGAATTTGAGTGGGGGAAGGAGGGGATAAATTAGAGCCGTGGAGGGGGTAAATTCAAGTATGATAATATTTGACATATCGCAAAAACTTTTGTAAATGCCACAATGTACCCCCACCCAGCACAACAGTAAGAGAAAGAGAATTTTAAAAATAAAATAAAATGGAAGTTGAAGTGAAGATGTTTGTAAATCCTGGGAAGAAAGGTGACTTAGCAGAGTTACTGTAGCTCACGCCCGTAATCCCAGCTAGTGAGGAGAATCCAAGTTCACGGCCACCTGGGCAAACGGGGACGGGGTGGGAGGGGGGGGAGACCCCATCTCAATCTATGAAAAGCCGGGCATGGCGGTACACATCTATCATCCCAGCTATGTGGGAGGCAGAGGTAGGAGGATGGCTGTCCAGGCCAGCCTGGGCAAAAACGAGAGGACTTATTTGAAAAATAACAAAAGTGGAGAGAACTGGAGTGGCAGCTCAAAGTGGTAGGGTGCCTGCCAGCAAGAGTGAGGCCACGAGTTCAAACCCCAGTACCCCCCCATATACACACACACAAAGAGTGGCCTAGGCCTCATCCTTTTGATGGACAGGGTGCTGCTGGGGCCCTAGATGCAGGGGTCACACTACTCTCGTCCCAGTAGCTCCCCAGCTGTGCCACACGGGCTGTACCCTGAGGTGGCCTTGTTTACTACAAGAAGCAAAGCCGCCGGCGGGCTGCAAATCACTGACCTTACAAAGGTTGAGGCCATTGCTCGTCATGCCTGCTTGTCAGTTAGCCAAGCAGGGCTTGGCCTAAAAGGAAGACAGTTGGTGTCCCTGCGGGACAGTTGTTGGCCAGACTGCAGGAAGCCACCTGCTTGCTGGCCTCGCTTTGGCCTGGAGGAAAAGAGGCAGAGGGGGCCTCAGTTAGGCAGGGAAAGGACTGGGAAGAGGAAGAGCCACCTTTGAGGCCAACTCTGGGAGTCCCTGAGTAACCTCCACCCTTTGTGTCCCCCGGCCAGGTCTGACCTTGCTTTTAACTGGGAAGGCTACATTTTTGTGTTTTTGAATGACATCTTCACAGCGGCCAACAGCGTTTACACTAAGCAGAAGATGGACCCGAAGGTACCAGATTGTCCCTCCCCAGCTCTTAGGTGTTGCCATCTGGCCCCCAAATGACAAGAAGACCGGAAACCAAGTTTTATACTTAATTTACAGAATATGATCATTCCATTACAAATTCATTTTTCTTGATTATGGTGTCTGAATAAGCCCTGTTCCTCCTTGTCTTGCAGAAGTGGGGGTGAAAGATATGGAAGGAATGACATTTTGAAAAGCAGTTTTTAAAAAAAATGAGCATCAGTGACCAAGTCAGAGCGGTCAGGATGCCCATTCTGAGAGAGCACTACTTCCAGAGTTTGGGGACAACGCCACTGGCCACTGTGACTTCCAACTTCGATGTCTCCCCATCCTCATCCGTGGTGTGAGATGACAGTGGGTGATCTGTGCACTCCTCCAGGGGTAACGGCCCCTGCCATCACAAGGGCTGGGACAGATGACTGTCCTCAGGGTGGCTCCCTGTGTGGGGGCCACCAGCCGTCCCCAGGCCCACTGCTCCCAGGGGCTCGCAGGCTGAGCCAGGCGTATGGTTCTTCGTGTGATGAGGGACTGTCACATGTTTCCATGAGCTTTTTTTTTTTTTTTTTTTTAATCTATGTGGCCATTTGTTTCTTTTCATGGTAAAAAACCAAATCACAATATGCCACCCATTTTTGGGGGACAGAGGGGTGTGACCACTTTCATGACAGCAGACAGGTAATTCTGCTGCTTCGGCCGTGGGCAGAGCAGATGACTTAAGGGAACTGCTTATGTTAGCACGCTCTTCCAGATTTCTTATTTTCTGAAAAAACAGAACCCCAGCCAGTGCCACCGTGTCCACCCGGTGCGGCAGTGGCTTTCGGTGCAAAGCCAACCTTGACCCTGGAATCGCAGACTCGTGGAGGCATTTTGCATCAAAGATTGGCTGGCAGTGCTGACGGCATTTCACAGGCCAGAGCCGGCAGGACTCAGTTTCCGACTTTGCACACACGAAGTTGCACAAGCAGCTCCAGGAAGTCTCGATCTTCGTAGTTCTAAAATTCAGGGGGTTGTTTTTCTTTGTGTGCTTGTTTCCGTAGGAGCTGGGGAAATACGGGGTGCTTTTCTACAATGCTTGCTTCATGATCATCCCGACTCTTGTCATAAGCGTGTCCACGGGAGACCTTCAGCAGGTAAGTCATGGCAGCATCCGTCTGGCTGAGCAGTCTTTTACAAGTCAGTTTTTTTTTTTGGTGCAACTGGGACTTGAACTCGGGGCCCAAACCTTGAGCCCCTTTTTGGGTGAAGGTTTTTTTTCAAAATAGGGTCTCATGAACTATTTGCCCCGGCCAGCTTCACACCGTGAGCCTCCTGATCTCTGCCTCCTGAGTAGCTGGGATTACAGGCGTGAGCCACTGCACCTGGCTACAATGAATTTAATTTAACATTTAACACTTGGCACTTGTGAGGGTTACAAGGAGGGGAACAGGAGAGCTGGCCATGGTGGTGTGCTCCTTAGTCCCTACCATCAGGAGACTGAGATAGAAGGATTATTTGAGTCCAGGAGTTCAAGACCAACCTGACCCCATTTCAAAAAGACATCCCTAAGAAAATTTTTGGCACTATTCGTGCATTGGCATTTATCTTGTAGACACTGGGGAGGTGGCAGGACGTAGTGACAAGAGCTCAGGACTTGAAACATTTTGGAAAATAGCAATAAAAATCTGAGTTTGAGTTGCAGTGTCCGCCTTGGCTGATGTGGGGAACTCTAGGAAAGCTACTTCCTTAGGAAGGGAAGGTTGATAGTTTAAAGATGGGGTTACTTGTTACTTTGTAGTTTAAAGAATGGATTTATTTGTTGCTTTTTAAGGGACATTTTGAAACATGCACAAAGTGCTGAGATACTTCAATGAACTGTCTACCCATTACTCAGCTTCCATACTTTTTTTTTTTTGGCTCTTTGACTTTCTTAGTTTGTCCCCATCCACTCCAGCTTCCTCTAGAGTATTTTAAAAGAAATCCCAGAAATCACGTCATTTTCCTCGGAATATTCCAGGATCCACATTTGAATTAGTGTTTACTCTGCTTACCTTAGCTACCAAATAGTACATTAGTGCAAGGTGGAAATCCGAACTCAGAACTCAGAGACCCCGGAAGCCGGGCGTGGTGGTTCGTGCCTGCAATCCCAGCACTGAGAAGGTTGAGGTGGGGAGGATTGTGAGTTCGAGACCAGCCTGAGTGAGCTACAAGAGTGAGAGCCTGTCTCAAAACAAAAACCAATAAAGCCACCACAAGAAAGCCCCAACCGATCATCTGGACGAACACAGAAGAAATGATCCCAAATCGGAAACTTTGTGATGTCACAAGTGGAAAATTGCACGCTGACCTCATGCATCGGTCACAGTGACAAATGCAGGCGTCCTAGCGTATGTATCAGCTGTGGCTGAAGCATTCCTGGATGTCACATTCAGATTTGCATCCCACCCCCAGAAATCTACCTACAAATGTCCCCAACCTGAAACAAGCCAATGTCCAGAACGCCTCTGGGGCAAGCATTTCAGGTAAGGGACACTGAGCCCGAAGCGAGGTGTCGGGCCCACAGCTTCCCAGAATTTTGCCCGTGTGGAGGAGGTGGTGTTCAAGTTCACACGAGGGCAAATCGTATTTGGGGTGCCTGACCCCCAGGCCCCACCCCAGAGCTGCCAGGTTTTACACCTCTCCCATTAGACAGGTGGTGGCCAGGTCACAGCCACTGCTGTGACAGTGTTTCTGTGGTCCCCAACAGTGGGGCCATGTGGCACACACACCAGTCCCAGCCACTGGCATTTGCAGCCCCCTTTTTAGGGTTTGGATGACTCTGGAAGGCTGCAGTCCCTGTCATCCTGGGGTCAGTGCCAGGGCTCACTGTTCCCAGCAGGAGGGGACAACAGAGGGACCGAGGTGCCAACGGTCACCTCCAGTGTTTAGCTCAAAACCCACCAGGAAGCTGCAGTTGTGATGCAGAGCCTTCTGCTCGGGATCCAGCGTGGGCTAGGCTGTCGGGGGCCACAGCAGGACGGGGCGTCTGAAAACAGTCGAATCGGTGTCAGCAACACGACACAGTGACATCAGAAAGTCTTTGTACTTTTTTATTTTCGCTGGCACTGGGGATTTGAACTCAGGGCTTTGCTCTTGCAAAGCAGGCGCTCTCCTGCTTGAGCCATGCCTGCAGTCCATTTTGCTCTGGTTAGTTGGAGATGGGGTCTCCTGAACTATTTCCCCAAGCCGGCCTCGAACCGCGATTCTCCCCATCTCAGCCTCCCACACGGCTGGGATTATGACCGCCTGCACGTGGCTCAAAATGGTAATTTTTTTTTTCTGGTATTTTATTTAAAATTATAAATTCTTAATGAAGTAAGCCCGGAGGTCTGTCTCATTTCCTGGGTCACTCGAATCTCTCTGTCCCCCAAGTCTGTCATTTCCAGGACCAAAACCCTAGAAACTCTTACACTCTCAGAACACGTCTTTGGGGCCCAAAGCGTATTTTCAGAGGAAATTCAGAGAAACCGAATGTTAGGTAGCTTGTGAGTGAAGTGCTGTTGGCGTGTCGCGTTGGCTATTCGTGATGAAGCTTCTGTGGGGTCACATGTCCCCAGTCCGAACCACTGACCTACAGTGGTCACCACCTGAACTCTGGTGCTTTCTCAAATAATAATAATAAAGTGACTAAATCTGCTTGCTTTATTGGGAGATGGGCTCAAGAACCCTCCCTGACTCAGCCCCCCCCCAGCGGCTGGGACTACAGGTGTGCGCCACCTCGCCCGCTGGTCCCAGTCCTACACGGGCTGACTTGGGGATCTGGGGGCTTCAGAGTGGTGTGGAAGTGACGCTTGTCCCACGGGATGCCCTGCTCTCCCGGGTCAGTGATTCTCTGTGGACGTGACGGGGGCCCTGGGCCCCAGTCACTCTGTCGCCTGTGTGAGCACACGGTGACCGTGTGCAAAATCGGCTCCGAGGGACATGGTTCCGCCCAACCAGAGGCTCGCGCAGGTGTTCCGAGCAGGCCAGTTATGGCGTTTGATTTACTTAATAAGGTTTTTATGGTGGTGCTAGCATTTGAACTCAGGGTCTCACGCTTGCTGGGCAAGTGCCGTACCACTTAAGTCACTCCCTCTGCCCTTTTCTGCTTGTTTCTATTCAGGTAGGGTCTCACATTTTTGCCTAGGGCCGGCCTTGGACGTCGATCCTCCTTCCTGCATAGCTGGGATTACAGCTGTGTGCCACAGGCCCGGCCTATAGAGTGAAATGAGTCTTCACTCACTTTTTGCCCGGGCAGACCTTGAACCCAGACCCTCCCGACCTCTGCCTCCTGAGTAGCTGGGATTACAGGCGGCAGGCACGGTGCTCAGCCTTCAGTGCATTTTGGACTCGTGATATTTCCAATTTACAAGTGGGCTTGGTGGGCAGTAACCCCAGAGAGCAGCTGTAAGTTGTGAAGTCCTAATGTGCTGGGAGAATATGGGGTCCCCAGCCCGGCTGGTGGGGCTGACTCCCCCCACATTTGCCCTGTTTTCAGTTGGTCACTTTGGATTGGGACTGAACCCACTTGAGATTGAGAACCAAATCCAAGAAAAGGGAGTTTGTGCACCCGGTGTGAGGCCACCTGTGGCTGGCAGGGCTGGCCCTGACGCTGCCGGAAGCTTCCCTGGGGAGATGGAATGAGTCATTTCCCCTACGGGACTAAGAAGGGGAGCCATGGAGGGACCAAAGGCTGTGGACGTGACTCCAGCCCTGGCATTCACCCCTGGACCTTGGACTTGCACTGCAGGATGGGGTCACAGATGGCCATCCCTCTGAACAAACAGCTGGGGACTGGACTTCTGTCACCTGAACCCCTGCAACGGGGCCAACGTACACCCAGGGTTTCCAGTTGCCCAGCAGGGATTTAAAAGTACAGGACTTTTTTCCTGGTTAAAAAAAAAAAAAAGAAAAGAAAATCCCAGGCCAGGCACCGGTGGCTCACGCCTGTAATCCCAGCTACTGGGTCACAGATGGCCATCCTCTGAAAAACAGCTGGGGACTGGACTTCTGTCACCTGAACCCCTGCAACGGGGCCAAACGTCACCCAGGTTCCAGTGCCAGCAGGGATTAAAAGTACAGGACTTTTTTCCTGGTTAAAAAAAAAAAAGAAAAGAAAATCCCAGGCCAGGCACCGGTGGCTCACGCCTGTAATCCCAGCTACTCAGGAAGCAGAGGTCAGGAGGATCGAGGTTCAAAGCCAGCCTGGGTAAATAATTCATGAGACTCTATCTCAAAAAAACCCTTCACCAAAAAGGGCTGGTGGAGTGGCTCAAGGTGAAGGCCCTGAGTTCAAATCCCAGTCCCGCCAAAAAACAAAACCCCAAAGTGCAAGATGAAGAAGACTCACGTTTTTAAGGAAGAAGTACTTGGTTGTTACTCAAGTTTAATTATTCCCTGCTTGAAAATAAACGCCTTGCTTCATTATTTCCTTTTCGGGGGTACGGGGGACTTGCACTTGAGCTACACCCCCAGTCCTTGTTTGTTGAGATGGGGTCTTGCTAATTTTTCACCTGGGCTGGTCTCGGACTTTGGTCCTCCCCATCTCTGCCATCCCAAGTAGCTGGGATTACAGGCGTGAGCCCTGCACCCACCAAGGAATTGAGTCTTAATCTTCTTCCCCCCCCCGTCACTACGGGATTGCTTTGTGGGTAACAAATAATAGCTTATTTATTTGTGCGGGGCGGAAGTTCTTGAAAACAGTTTATAGACTGAGACCTTCCTTGCTGACACGATTAATTCGGGTATGAACTTTTCGGAACTTTTCGGAACTGCAGCTTAATTAGTAAAGATTTGGAAAATCAGTGGTAGCTCCGACAGCTTCAGTCGGTGCTCACGTCGGGCCGTGCAAGGGGCAGGCGGCTCAGAGAGGGAGAGCCACGGGCCCGAGGTCACACAGCTATGTGACCTAGGACTTTCAACACGGGATTCTCTGGGCGGGAGGTTGGTCCCTGCATCGCAACAGGATGGGTGCAAGCAGAGAATCTCCACTGTCGCGCATCTGGTCCTCACTTTCTTCTTCTTGCAGGCCACTGAGTTCGGTCAATGGAAGGACGTCCTGTTTCTCCTACAGTTCCTTCTGTCCTGTTTTTTGGGGTAAGAAACGAGAGCCACAGAGACGCGCTGGGTGATGGGCTCTGTTGACAAGTCAGATCTAAACGGACCGCCTGTCAGTTCCCTGTCAAGATCCCTCTGTCCTGGTCGCCATGTCCCTTGTCTTATGGGTCCTTCCTCACATCTTCAGGGGTGTCTTCCTGCCGGAAGGCCACCCTTTTGTTTATTTTTTAAGTTTCTCTTATTTTGTGATAGGGTCTTTCCGTGCCGCCCAGGCTGACCTCCATCACACTCCTCCTTCCTTAGCGCGCTGGGATTACAGGCATGCGGGACCACACCTGGCCCATCTGTACCTTTTCTACACCGTCTAAGCTCGAGAGCCAGGCACGCCAGCTACTGGGGAGGCAGAGGAGGGAGGATCGCGGTCTGAGGCCAGCCCAGGCAAAAGCATGACATCCTGTCTGGAAAGCAAACCAAAAAGCACAAGGACTGGGGACGTGACTTCAGTGGTGGAGCACCTGCCTAGCAAGAGTGAGGCCCTGAGTTCAAATCCCAGTACCGCCCCAAATTCCCACAAGCTTTGCATGACTCGATGATAACACACAGCTAAAGAGTCACTGGAGTAGAGAGGAAGAATAAGCAGGGGTCCCCCGTCCTCCCCGGCTCTAGCCAGAGGCAGACGCTGCTGGGATTTTGGGGGCGTCCTTCCCAAGCTGGGCTCCACCACCCACGGGCACCACGTTCGATCCCCCAAATCCATCTCAGGAAATTACTCGCCGACAGGTTTTTCTCCCTGGGAAGAAAGATGAACAAACACCTTATTTTTTTTTAAATTTTTACCAGAAGTCCTACAATTTTTATTATAAGCAAATGACCAAAGCCAACCCATGATTTTTTAAATGAATACGCGTTAATTTTCAAACTTGTGGCGTCATCACAGGCAAAAAAGCACCCTTGTGTGTCTCCAGTTCACAGATTCTCTCTCTAGCCGTGTCGTATCGAATGGAGATTTTGATTGTACGCATTTTGTTCTATTTTAATTTTAAAAGTTCCACCATTTTCCTCAAAATTATCTGTTGGTTCCTAACAGTCTTTCATTACTCATTTTTGTGACTGTACCTTTTTTTTTTTGGTGACACTGGGGTTTGAACTCGGGGCTTCGTGCTTGTAAAGCAGGCGCCCTACCACTTGAGCCACACCTCCAGTCCATTCTGCTCTGGTTATTTTTGAGATAGGATCTCGTTTTCTGCTCAGGCTAGTTTGGATCACAATCCTATTTGTGCTTCCCATAAGGCTTGGGCGACAGGCATGCACTACCACACCCAGCTGTGGGTTGGGATGGGGTCTCGGTGACCTTTCTCTGGGCTGGACTCGAGCTACGATCCCTCGGATCGCTGCCTCCTGTCATAAACTTCTGGACATGTCCTGGTATCTGGGGGACACAGCAGGGCTCTGTGGGCACCTCAGGGTTGATGTCCCTTTTTTCCAAGGTTGCATTCCAAGCTGGTTTTTCTCAACCGCCAGGCCTCTGTTCTGTGTGGAAAATATAATTTAATATAAAAGTTATTACACTTAACGAATGCTAAGAAGCCACCAGACGGCGAAAAGGCCGCGGTCGGGGTTTTCTTTTGCATCCCTGGGAAGGGTTTGGCGTGGCGGTGGCAGGCCTGTGCCTGTGGGTGGAGGGACATTGGGTCTGCAGATAGTTTGATTTAATTATTTAATTATTTGAGATAATTTCCGCGGCCCCAGGCAGCTCTGCAGGTCTTTGGAATCTTGCTGAGAAACGACAGGTTCCAGTTCCTTCCTTCCAGGGGCTGCCACCCTCCCCCCAAGGGGGGGTCCCAAAAAGATGACATCCCCCTGGCAGTGCCGTGCTGTGTGACGGTCACATATTCATCAGCAGAAACACAAAGCTACCACATTCCCCACCCGCTCTGGGTTTGCATCTTGACACCTGCCCCTGAACAGGTGGCCTCAGGAGAGTCCGGCATTCGGTTGGTTGCCTGGGCACAGGAGTGACAAAACCTGGCCACCGTCTCCCTGCAGCCTTGGCACAGAATCCACGCTTCAGAAAGACGCACCCTGTTCATCCACGACCTTGGGGTCCCTGGCGTGTCACAGAGAGGGGAGAGCCTGGAAATTCTCTGAAATGTGCAATTTCTAAATAGAAAATCAGCAAACTGAACTCGAACTCCTAGTTTCTCCTACGCCCTCACAGCACAGGTCCCTTCTGTCACCTCAGAAGGGGTGGGGACTTTGTCACACCAGCAAGCCAGGGACTCTCACTGAATTCAGTCCCCAAGACTGGCTCTCCTTCAGACCCAGTCACACGTCCAGAACTTCCCGCTAAACCTGCCGGCTACGGTTGGGGTTCTCAGCTCCCCCTCCTCTGGTCTGCGTAATCTTCTAGAGTGACTTACAGACCTCAGGGAAACCCCGTACACTCAAGGTCCGAGGGTCCCCTGTGCAGGGGCTTCTGTCCCCAGGCAGTTGGCACGAGGATGAGTTGGTTCTGCTCACCAGCCTGTGAGCCTCAAGTGTCCGTCTGTCCAAAACCCCTGGGCGCTGTGTCCTTTTGGATCATCACGGTGACTTTGTTGCATGGCCCGTGCAGTGGCTGTGGGCTGTCCTGTAGGAATGGGTCTGGATGAATGACTGTGCCAGCGCTGGGGGGCTGGGCGGGGACCCAGCGAGGCCTGTCTGTCCTGAGTCCTCCTGTCTGTCCGTCCTGAGTCTTCCTGTGCACCTTGCTTCCCTGTGGATATGGGGTCTGACCCCTTCTGCAATGGGGCTTCTACTAACAGACAGCGCGGCTCAGGAAATGTCTTTATGGCCAGTCCACGACAGAAAGGCAGGGGACTCGATGGCCTCCTGGGGGAAGAGAAATTCTAGTTTCTATGGCTTGCCCTGGGGACAGAGTTAGGACCCTGGAGCCAAGACTGAAAACGTGTAGGGCAGGAGGGTAACCAGTCACTTCAGTTGTTTGTGACAGTCCCCACCATGCCCTACAACCTTGGCAGATCAGTTATTTTTTTAGTGTCATTTTTAGGAACAGGAAGAAGACTTTGAGCGCGGGTTCTGGTCCAGGGGTTTGCACCTGGGCCCCTCCACCCCAAAGGGCCCCCAAAGCCAGAGCCCTCAGGCAGTATCTGTTATCTGAGAAAGTGCATCAGATATATGTGTTAGTGGGTTTTTTTAAAGGTCCTCTGCTGATGTAATGAGTTAAAGACGCAGAAGGGCGAAGTTAGCGGGAATTCAGCAATCAAATGCCTCCACATTTTCTTGATCTGTATATGGCAAGGTCAAAGCTGTTGACGTGGAGCTTGACAGTTTGGGGTTTACAGAAGTGGTGTGATTGACGGTTTGGGGTTTACAGAATGGTGTGATCGCCCTTGTGGGGGGGTGAACGAAGGCTCCTTTACTTCAAGGTCTTGGTCTTTCCTAAATGAGCACAAGTAACTATTTGCATGCAAGAACAGATTCTGTTTCTGTTATGTGAGGGTGCCTTGTTAGAAGTTGGTATTTTGTTCCTCCTCTTTTACTTATTTAACACGCTCCTTTACTTCACGATACTGGGGTTTAGAACTCACGACCTTGTGTTTCCTCGGCAGGCGCTCTACCACGTGAGCCACAGCCGGCCCTAGAGCATTGGCTTTAAAAATAAGTTTATTACTTTGGTCCCAGTGGTTTCTATTCGCCCTCTTTGGCGACATCTAGTGGACATATGGAGAAGCGCAGCCTTCCTGTCTAGACACCAGCCGTTGCTAAGGGCTGGGGGCACACGCAGCGTGCCTCCAGGATGTCAGAGAGGGTCCTTGTCACAGCTCAGCCCAGCTGGTGAGTGACTGTCCTAGTAGATGGACGCTGGGGTCCTAGATGCACATCTGCTCATCTAATCCTACCTGTTCATCTTAGTTTCATTAAGACACAGGTGTTTCCAGTCTTGCCTGATTGGGACCCTGGAGTTGGGTTTTTAAGCAAAAATAAAAATAAAGAGCACCCATGATTGTTCCTGGATGAAGACTGCACTTGCTTTTTTTTTTTTTGGTGCGACTGGGGTTTGAACCAGGGCTTTGCACTTGCTTAAGCCACACCTCAGCCCAGCTTGCGCTGGTTATTTTGGAGATGGGGTCTTGTGAACTATTTGCCCAGGGCTGACCTCGAACAGTGATCCTCCCGATCTCAGCCTCCCAAGTAGCTGGGATCACAGGCATGAGCTGCCGGAGCTTGGCCTGGCTCTGCACTCACTTTTTTTAATTTAATTTTATTATTCACATGTGCATACAAGGCTTGGTTCATTTCTCCCCCCTGCCCCCACCCCCTCCCTTACCACCCACTCCACCCCTCCCTCTCCCCCCCCCAATACCCAGCAGAAACTATTTTGCCCTTATCTCTAATTTTGTTGTAGAGAGAGTATAAGCCATAATAGGAAGGAACAAGGGTTTTTGTGGTTGAGATAAGGATAGCTATACAGGGCATTGACTCACATTGATTTCCTGTGCGTGGGTGTGACCTTCTAGGTTAATTCTTTTTGATCTAACCTTTTCTCTAGTTCCTGGTCCCCTTTTCCTATTGGCCTCAGTTGCTTTAAGGTATCTGCTTTAGCGTTAAGGGCAACAAATGCTAGCTAGTTTTTTAGGTGTCTTACCTATCCTCACCCCTCCCTTGTGTGCTCTCGCTTTTATCATGTGCTCAAAGTCCAATCCCCTTGTTGTGTTTGCCCTTGATCTAATGTCCACATATGAGGGAGAACATACGATTTTTGGTCTTTTGAGCCAGGCTAACCTCACTCAGAATGATGTTCTCCAGTTCCATCCATTTACCAGCGAATGATAACATTTCGTTCTTCTTCGTGGCTGCATAAAATTCCATTGTGTATGAATACCACATTTTCTTAATCCATTCGTCGATGGTGGGGCATCTTGGCCGTTTCCGTAACTTGGCTGTTGTGAATAGCTGCACTCACTTTTGAAGGCTTCCGGTGCTGGATATCTTGTATTTTCTGGAGTCCGAGGTTCTCCAGCCGATGCTGTGGATTAGGCCTTCTGCCACCCAGTGCCATTGTTCCAAATCTTTTCATTTTGTGTGTGAGTAGGATTATTTAAGTAAACCTTGAACTTACTAAAATGGTAACAATTAAAAAAAACCAACAACCGGATTTGCATAAGCCCCCAAGTTCAAATTCTAAAACAAGTAACTTGTATAAAAATAAGGACATTGACGCATCATTTGAGTCCTGGTTTATTAACTGAAGTCTAAGTGAGTCTGAACATTTTACTGTAAGTGAGTTCCATTCAGCGTTTAGTGAATGAAACAGTTTTAAACTGCATCTAAGACTGTAATCTGATTGATTTTTCTTCGGTTATTCCAGCCCCTGAGGCCGACTAGCAAGCTAATAGATTGTTTGATGCACTTAGGCCGCTCGTTGAAATCTAATAAAGCAAACTGGGAAATGTGGTCAGTCAGCTTTTTAAGAAAACATTCAAGGCTGAGTGCTGGCGGTCACGCCTGTAATCCTGGCAACCCGGGAGACTAAGATGGGGAGGGTTCCGGTTAGAGGCCAGCCTGTGGAAAGAGTTCAAGAGACCCCATCTCCAAAATATCCACAGCAAAGTGGCCTGGAGGTGTGGCTCAAGCAGTAGAGAGTCTGCTTTGCAAGTGCAAAGTCCTGAGTTCAAACCCAGTCCCACCAAAAAAACCTTTTTTCAAATACCATCTATAGACTTACTCAGTCTCCTTTGTTTCTTTCAAATTAAAATTGCATCAATTACGCATTTCAAATGAAAACCACTGAAGGGTTCCAAATTGTTTTCATTACCTAATAACAAGTGCACACGTTGTTCCCTTTTCATTCGTAACTCTTAAGTTTATTCTTCAATCAAATGGCAATCGATGTACTCTGTATTTTTTCTTCCGTCATCCGGGGTAGTAAAGACAATTGGGATGACAGAGGGTGCTACAGGGAAAGTTTGTGGTCCTGACCCGGTCGCCGCAGTGGGACAGCGGAGCCCGGTCCTTTCTAGAAAAAAGAACCCGCTCAAGCCGGCCTGGGCACTGACCTTTCCTTGGCATCAAGTTCCTTTTGCTCGGTCCGTGGGGATCCCAGGCCATGCTTTCTGCCCGGGATTTTTAAAAGTTCGTTTATTTTGGGGGTGGGTCACACCCTCCCTCCCAGCACCGCTGATCTCCACCTCCTCACCTGTGGCCGGAGTCCCCTTCTCTCCCTGTGTGTGTCTGCTCACAGTTCTGCAGTCACCTTCTTGAGAAGTTGAATGACCGAATTGATTTTGGTAGTGGGGTACAGGAGTTCAGTTTCCTTTGTCCAAAGCCAGCAATGGCCCAGGTGACCTTCCCTCTCACACACGTGTGTCCTCACCGCTGGCTGCACATGTGAGGGCCACCTGTGAAGTTTATGTCACACACGGCCCAGGCTCCACCTCAAAGCAACTAATGGAAGCCTCTGCCAGGCATAAAAGTAAAACAGGTGACGGTGACACACAGAGGGTCGAAACTCAGCTGTTCAATGAAAGAGTTCAGGTCATTAGGAAAACAAAAACAAAAACAAAAAAACAAACCCTCCTGCCAGGCACTGGCGGCTCACACCTATAATCCTAGCTATTTGGGAGGCTGAGATTGGGAGGATCGTGGTTCGAGGCCAGGCTGGGCAAATAGTTCTCAAGATCCCTTCACCAAAAGTAACCAGAGCACATTGGACTGCAGGTGTGGCTCGAGAGGTAGAACACCTGCTTTGCAAGTGCCAAGCCCTGAGTTCGAACCCCAGCCCTGCCAAAAAGAAAAAGAAAAAGGAAAAAAAAATCCTCCTTACCCCCACTTTGTGGAAATATAATGGCAAATGCACAGAGATAGCCAGACGGACACCTGCCGCGGGAGGATTTCCTGTAACGAGTCCAGTTGGCAAGGTGTCCCTAGGGGTGGCTGCAAAACCTGTATGGATGCTATGTGTTTTTTTTTTTAAATTATTATTTTTAATTATTATTTTTTATTATATTTATTATTATTTTTATTTTATTTTTATTATTATATTATTATTTATTATTAATTATTGTTATTTTTAATTATTATTATATTATTTTTATTATTCCTGAAAAGCACTGGTGGTGGGCAGCTGGCTGACCCTTGCTGCCTGGTGCCACCCCGCCCTGCAGGTGCTAACTCCGCTGTCCCTCCCCTTGTCTCAGATTCCTGCTGATGTCCTCAACAGCTCTGTGTAGCTACTACAACTCCGCCCTGACGACGGCGGTGGTGGGTGCCATCAAGGTGAGTGGCTGGAGCCCTGGAACGGGCAGGTTGTGGGACCCCAGCTGTGGTTGAGCGAGGGCGGTAAGGTCCCATCCTCGCGGGGGGGGTCTGGGCGACTCCTTTTTCATGCATGAAGCAGAGGGGAGGTTAAAAGAGCAGTGGAGGGGTGAGTGAGGTCAGAGTGTGTTTGATGGCAGAGAGAAATAGCAGAACCCCCACATTGCCCTAAGGAAAATGTGGGGGAAGAAGGGAAGACAAGTTTTTGTTTCCAAATTGGGAGTGAGTAGGGGAGGGTGACTTGGGAGAAGGGAGAGAAAAAAAATGCCAGACATCAATGATTACCTACCTGGTGATCTACAGTTTGGGAGAACTTGCCCACTAAGGAAGGGAATCCTGTCGGGCACCAGTGGCTCACGCCTGTAATCCCGCCTACTTGGGAGGCTGAGATTGGGAGGATTGCAGTTTGAGGCTAAGAGTGAGCGAGAACACCTGCTTGCTCTAACTCTTTGTTGGCTGCCCAGAGACTTCTAAAATACACTGCACAGAATTCCGGGGGGGATTTATTTCCTGGCCAGTTCAGGGTGGACAGAATGGAAGTTCATCGCCCCTCGGTGGCAGAGAAGGTGGAAACTGGTGGGCTGCATTGCAGCTCAACTCTTCTGGCTTTTGCCTGCAAAGGAAGATGAATAATGGGGTTTTCTGTTTCTCAAGCCACCCTTGGTGGCTTTTGCATTTGCCAACTCCTACTGACCAGAAGTCTCTCTGCAAGGAAACTCCAGGCTCTGGTTTTAGGCTTCGCCGTCCGGATGCATTTTCCCCAACCCTTGGCTTTTGGTGACGACCCCTGTCTCTTTCTCTGCAGAATGTGTCGGTCGCCTACATAGGGATGCTGGTTGGTGAGGACTATGTTTTCTCCCCCCTGAACTTTGTAGGATTAAATATTTGGTGAGTGAGAATTTTAAACGAACTCATTTTAGTAACATAAAAAATTTGGTGTGATTAATATGCATGTGATAAGCAAAAGTACAAAGAGAAATGTCCCTTTCTTGCATTTTTCTGCCATAACCCCCATGTGAAGCCATGGGGTCATGGAAACCCACAGAGCTGGGATCTGAATTCGATTCACTCAGCTTCTCAAAGAAAAGTCTCATATCTGCCTTTTCTTTCTTTCTTTCTTTCTTTTGGTGGGACCAGGGTTTGAACTCAGGGCTCTGCACTTGCAAAGCAGCCGCTCTACTGCTTGAGCCACACGTCCAGTCCATTTCGCTCTGGTTATTTTGGAGATGGGGGTCTCGGGAACTATTTGCCTGGGGCTGGCCTCGAACCTCGATCCTCCTGATCTCAACTTCCCAAGTAGTCGGGATTACAGGAGCACACCACCAGCGTCTTCCTCCTGCCGAGTGGGTCTCCTTACTTCCTGCCCTTTCTAAGTGCCAGGCTTAAGATGCTGTGACTATTGACTAGGACACTTTTGACAGGCATTTTGAGATTTCAGATCTGGACACGAGTTTAGAATAATTGTATATAGTTTATTCAATAATCAAAATTTAAGAAACCAAGTGCGTATTTTCTGAGAGTCTGTATTAGAGTCAATTATCCTTTTTTTCCTTCTGTCTCCAAAGGTTTATAAATAAAAGGAGCAATCCCCACCAAGTAATCCACAAGCTTGAGGGTAAAAACTCCAAAGATCCGAATAATTCCCTCCAAGTTAAGCTGATCGAGTTTGTAAAGCTATCAGCCACTTCTGGGAGCGTCTGTGGGAATCGCAGTTAGGTGATTTCAGCGTTTTCTTTTCTCTTTTTCAGCATGGCAGGAGGCTTGAGGTATTCCTTTTTAACACTCAGCAGTCCGGCAAAGCCTAAACCACCGGCGGATGAAGAAAATGTCCCTCTGGATTTGAAGAGCTAGAATAGGAGGCGGAATTGCAGACTGACTTGCAGACAGACTGACCTGCAGATTGACTTGCAGACTGACTTGCAGACCGACCTGCAGACTGACCTGCAGACTGGGGGATGGGAGGGCAGTCACATGAAGGAAGCCACCAGCCACGTCACTCAAGGCACAAACAGGAGTGTCTGCAGAATGCTAAGAGAACTACCTCAGGGGCCACCTGCAGCAAGTCCTCAGGACCCGAGCAGCTGCCAGCGACGTGTGCAAAGCCAGCCTTTGGGACTGGGCCTCTGCACCGCTGCTGCAAGGGTGACTTTTCTTCTCAGCACCTTGACCTTGACTTCAGAGGTCAAAGTCAAGTGCCAGCGAGAACTTTATTTTTCCAACTTAAACAAACATCTCTTTAATAAATTCAGTCAACTAATTGCTAGCAAAGTTAGCTTTAATTGAAGCTCTGTTTGTATCTTTTTCTAATCATCCAAGTCCAATAAAAAAGTTATTTCTAGGTGAGTCTCATACGGTGACGTCGTGGGAGACAGGCAGAAAACAGGACAGGCAGCGACACCCTGCGTATTTTTTTGTGACTGGCTTATCTCACGTAGCAGAATATCCTTAAGGTTCACTCTTACCATAACATATGTCAAAATTTCCTTCATTCCCAACCCCCCACTGTTTGTCTGAAAAAAAAAAAAAAGCTACGTAGTCCAGGTTGGCCTCAAACTTGAGACTCTCCCGACTTGCTCTGAGGGCTGGGATTACAGGCGTGCACTACCTCACCTGGTGAGCGTCTTTCCTTCCGAAGTCTGAATGTACGAGTGCATATATTTGATTTCTTTCGCCATTTCCTAGTCATGTTGTTTGTTTCATCATTATTCGGTTTTAGTTTTTTTTTTTATTGTTTGGTTTACTTTCCTAGAGCAGGGTGTTGGGGCTTCCAAACCGTGGTAAATACCTCATGCCATATCAAAGATCCTTTGGGAAACCCAGGGACCAAAAATGCCAAGCAAAACAAATCAAAACCAGCTCTGTCTTCCTTTCAAACCAAGGTTTCCCTTATCTCTCATTTTTATTCTTGGAATTCTTAAGATGATTTTTAAGATCAGTCTGCCTGCTTCCACCTGTGGCCAGCAGGGGGCATCCCAAGAGCAGCCTTGGAGCCGGGGTGACCTTTGCAACTGTCCTGTGCCCCAAGGCCAGGCTTGAGCTGGGTCTCCAAGCTGGTTTGAGTCGAGGTTAGTTGTGTGTCGTGTGCACAGAGTGCTGTAGAAGGGGTCTGTGACCTTCAAGGAGGTTTAAGGAGAAATGTAGTCCAATGCTTCAGGTCTTTTGGGTATTTCTTTTTTCCCATTAAAAACAAAAGCAAAAAAAATACTGGATGGGACAAAGAAAATTTGTTGAGTTTCCTTGATATCTCGCATATTGCAAAAGACAGCTATCACTTTTGCTAACTTGGACTTTTTTTTTTTTTTCGGCTGTTTTAGTTTATTTCCTACATATTAAATATATTTCAAGTAGGGGGGGAGTAGAATTTTTTCTGACAGCTGAGGTTGCTTAGAGAATAGGACACAGCCAGGAGCATCCAGGAGGCCAGGGACGGCAGCAAGGCACTGTGGGAAGGAGGAGGCAAGGTGGCTGGGGAAGAAGAGGCTGGTGCAAAAGCCAGCCTCACAGACTGTTAAGCAACCTCAAGGACTTGTGCGGAAATCATTTGGAGAATTTTAAGTATGCCAGTTGTTCCTCATGGATACATTTACAGCGGTCAATGTATCTTGTGTCGTACATTGGTCAAAACAGAACTTTGATTTTACTCTAAAAGTGATCCTAGTACAAAATTGGCTCTGCTGTTAAAAAAAAAAAAATAGGCCCTAGCTTAGAAAAGAGCTATTTAACGTTATTTTCTGTGCCCGCAGGAAAATAGCAAAAGGCACAGGTGTCAGTAGTTTCCAGGTCTTTGGTTCCTTTTTCCTTTTCCCTTTCATGACTTGGTTCCTGGACCCTGCAGGACTCATTCCTGTCTGAGGATAGATAGTGGATTTGTGCCCACATCCAGTGCTGGACCTCTCCCAGCCTCCAGACCCTGGTCCAGGAAACAGGGTCCCCAGCAGCTCAGATTCCCCATCCACGTTCTCCTCCGATGTCAGATGGTGAGGCTAGAGTGGCCCAGGCCATTCCTGGGGACATCGAGGGAGAAAATGCACGAGACAGACATCTTAGAAAGAGGAAAGGTTTGTTTGGGCTCATGGTGTCACAGGTTTCATCCATAGTCCTTGGGCCTGTGGTGAGGCAGCACTTCCTGGTGGGGAGTGAGGGGGCGGAAAAGAGGAAAAGGAAGGAGTTGGGTCCTAGTGTCCCTTTGGAGACCATGCCCCCGACCTCACTTCCTCCCACCAGGCCCCACCTCCTCTCGGTTCCACCTTTGCTCCACCACCCAGCCTAGAGGTTCTGTCTCCCAGTAACACCGTGGGCTGGCCACCAAGCTTCTGTCACACGGCACGAGGGGTGACACGATTGGTTGGGGAACACCGTCGTCGTGCCCTCCACTCTGACATCCACTCCAGGTTAACGATGTCACCATAGCTAGCCTCGGGGCCTTTTGTTTCAGTGTGTGGTCCCCATACCAGGTGAGAAATGCACCTGCTGGATCAGCATTTGTACTTGAACCCTATCCCAACCAGGCCAGATCAGACTTTGAATAGTTTTTTTTTTTTTTTTTGGTGGCCCTGGGGATGGAACCCAGGGTCCTGTGTGTGCTAGGCAAGTGCTCTGTCACTGAGCTGCATCCCCCCTTGTTTTCTGACAGGGTCTCGCTATGCAGCCCAGGCTGGCCTTGAACTTGGGATCCTCTTGTCCCTGCCTCCCAAGTGCTGGGATTACAGGAGTGTCCCACCACACGTGACTGTAGTGTAATAGGGGCTCTTGCATTCGTTGGCCTGACAGAGTCCTTAATATAAACAACTCAAATAGTTATTGTGCCCAATCGTACTGCGGCACTATTCACAATAGCCAAGCTATGGAAACAGCCAGGATGCCCCACCACTGACGAATGGATTAAGAAAATGTGGTATCTGTACACATGGAATATTACTCAGCCATGAAGAAGAATGAAATCTTGTCATTTGCAGGTAAATGGATGCAACTGGAGAACATCATCTGAAGTGAAGTTAGCCAGGCTCAGAAAGCCCAAAATCACATGTTTTCTCTCATGTGTGGAATAAGACCTAATACAAACGCAGCAATATTACAGAAAACAGGTCACACTAAGGGAGGGGGCTGTCACACACGAGAGAAGGAGGGTAAAAGAAGGAAGTTAACAAGTGAATATGGCTGATGTACTTCCTATGCAAGAATGAATATAGAATTCTTAAACTGACTGAAACCACCAAAAGACAGGGACTAAGGGAGAAAGAAGAAAAATAGAGGAGATGGACCAATTGGGGTTAATATATATATTTATTCATATATACACGGAAGTCCACAAGAAACTCCCTGTGTACCTACCTTTATCTCAAACAAGCAAAAGTGTCATTTTTTTCTTTTTTCTTCTACAAAATCAGAGAGCCTGGGGGCCGAGGGGGGTGGTGGTGGTACCAGTGAGAGGGGGAGGATATAAGGAAAGGGTGTAGGAGGGTGGATATGGTGGAATATTATGCACTCATGAATGAAAATGGAAAAATGAGACCTGCTGAAACTGTTCCAGGAATGGAGGGGGGGGAGGGAGGATAAAGGAGAAAGTAGAAGGGGTGAACTCAAGTATGATGTAGTTACAATATTGGTGGATTGTAAGAACTTTTGTAAATGCCACCATGTTCCCCCACCCACCCAGTACTACAACAAAAGAAAACACTATTTTGTTATGGCCCACAGCGTCAGAGGTCTCAGCTCCCGTTCAGCTGGATTCATTGCTTTGGGCCTGAGACCAGCCAGAGGATCATGGAGGCAGGAACAGGTGGTAGAAGAAGCTGCCCACTGCATGGAACCAGGAAGCAGAGCTGATGACAGGGAGGTGCGTGGCACAAGATACAAGACCCACCTCCAAAAGTTTCAGTCACCATCCACCAGTGGAGTCAGGGCCCTTTGGCCCAACCACCTCTCAATGGCTGGATCCTCCAGCTGGGGGCCAGGCCTTCAAACCTGGGGAGGGGGCACTTCTTTTTTGGGGGTGCACTTTCCATCCAAACCATAACGGTCCTTGACTCGAGGCTCATGGGTAGAATTGAGTGGACTGGTGAATGTAGATGGTTTCCCCTTTTGGTTCTGTACATTTTATTTTATTCATTTAAAACACGATTCAAAGGAGGTCATCATGAGGCTGCCATTAAGGCCCATCGCTGCCTTAGGGGGATAAAGAAAATTCTAGATTAGTACCAGTGGAGGAGGTATGATGGTGTAGACATGATTTGTCTCCCAAAGGGCCAGCTAGTTTGCTCCCCAATATGGCGGTGGTGGGGACCTTTGAGAGGTGGCTGGGTGCAGAGATTTTCTGACCTGGCGTGGGCCAGGCCTTGCAGTGTGGGGCCCTTCGTGGAGGGTGAATTACTCTGAAGGCAGGGCCGGGCTCCTACTCCGTCTCTTGTTCCCCCTTTCCTTGTGTGACCTCTCTCTCTTGTACGGTCCCGCCATGGAGTGTGGCCAGGGGATCCTTGCCAAGTGTTGGTGCCATGTGCCAGAATGGTGAGCCAAAGAACCCCCTTTGCTTGATGCCTTGCCCAGGGTAAGATGTGTTGCTATAAGAACACAGAACAGACTAGGGGACCCTTGTGTAGAGGAGGAAGGGCGTTGGGGGATGGTTTTAGCCTCTGCTACCTGGTGGGCGTTGGGGGACGGTTTTAGCCTCTGCCACCTGGTGGGTGAGAAGGGCATCTTCCAACTAGTGATCGCTATCTGTACAAGACAGATAGACAGACAGATTGAGAGAGGAACAGAACAGAACAAGTAGGCTTCATCTTGTTTTCCTTTTCATCCCCTCTAAATGAAAAATGTTGAATTCCTACTGAGGCAGCCGAGGGGACAAGGAGTCCCTTTACGAGCTCTTATCCACAGCATTGAGTGTCCACCCAAACATGCTTGCCCAGCTTCCTCTAAGACACAGGGTCCATGCTGGGGAGGGGACCAGAGCCCACCACCCCGCCCAGTACCCAGAGCTGTTGGCTTAGAGAGTTGTCCCAGGGAAAGAGAGGGTCTGTACGGTGACTATCTTAACCTTGCTCCAAACGATGTCTGACCTTTGCCTTTGCCTCTTAGGATGTCATGTTTAACAGGAATATCTTAGTTGCCTGGGAGCCTGGGTCACATTGGATCTTCTGACAGGACAGACAGGGACGGTCACGTCTAAATGAAGCTGGCCACATCAGCAAGACCAGCAGTGTGGGGGGCTTTGGTGATGCCTGGGGGTGTTGGAGACTGAGCTCAGCCATGT